AGTACAAAGAATGTTTAATTAATGCGGGGTTGGCATAATAATGAGGTCATTATTTTGCATGACTCCTTTCACCCTTTTCGTGCGACTTAGGGATGACGACGACGACGATGATGATGATGAAGGGTTTCGTCGGTCGGGATGACGACGGGTCCAGTAACTTTGCCAGTCCGACATGACGGGTTTTGGTTAGACAGCGGAAGTAAGAAAATGGCAGCTCCGCTCAATCTGAATATAATCTTAGATCGCAGAATCCGAACGATAATAGAATTTAAAAGTGAGTTAGGATATAAAGAACTTGGGAAGGGAGTTCGATGGCTGGCTTTATAGAAGGACACGGTGCTCCCGAACAATGTCGGAGTAACAACATTGTGGCTGAGCATTCATTTCGACGTTTTTAGCGTGATACGAGACAAGTTGGTATTTGAAACCTCGCACGAAAACCCAGCATTCAGTGGAAACGGTTCATGTTAACGTTAAGCGACGAAAATGTGGGGGCCCAACGTATCCCCGCTGTCACCTAAATCAGCTTCCCGGAAGCAGCCCCATTGGTGCGTCCCTCCCACGCGCCGCTTCCCACGCGGAGACAAAAAACCTATTCTCCTCCTCCTCCTCGTCCTTCTCAAAAATGCAAATGCATGCTCTCGTCTGGTCATTTCGGTCGCCGCACGCCTTTCTGCAACACAGACCAACTCTCCCTGCTCCATCAACCCTCTCTCTGTTTCTCTCTCTGTCTCTCTCTCTCCGCCATGAACGGCAACGCCACCGGCTTTTCCGGCAAGGAGAAGCTGGTCGTGGAGGTCGTGGCGGCGCACAACCTCATGCCCAAGGACGGCGAGGGCTCCTCGTCGCCCTTCGTCGAGGTCGAGCTCGACAACCAGCGGCAGCGGACCCGGGTGAAGCACAAGGACCTCAACCCCGTCTGGAACGAGCGCCTCGTCTTCCACCTGGCCGACCCCGCCGACCTCCCCTACCGGACCCTTGAGGCCAACGTCTTCAACGAGCGGAGGTCCGGCAACAGCCGCAACTTCCTCGGCAAGGTCCGGATCTCCGGCTCCGGCATTGCCAGGGAAGGCGAGGAGGTGGTCCAGCTCTTCACGCTCGACAAGAGGAGCCTCTTCAGTCACATCCGCGGCGAGATAAGCCTGAAGCTCTACCTGTCGACGCGGGAGGAGGTGAAGAGCCAGGTGGTCAACGGCGGCGGCGGCGGCGGGGGGTCGTCGTCGTCGTCGTCTTTGGTCCAGAGGAAGAGCAAGAAGCTGCACCACCAGCAGAACGCGGCCTTGCTGTCGGTACAGCAGCAGCAGAAGTTGATGCAAGAACAGAGCAAGCCGGCCCAGCAGGTGCAGAACAAGCCGGCTCAGCCAGCGGATCCGGGCCCCGGAGAGATGAAGCCGGTCGTGATAGCGGCTGCGCCGCAGCCCGTCACGGCGACGGGAGGTGGCGGCGGAGGTGGAGTTCTGGGGGGATTCTTGGGCGGTGGGTCGAGCGAGTTCTTGCTCAAAGAGACGAGGCCAAGCCTCGGCGGTGGGCCCACGTGCAAGGACAAGACGAGCTCGACCTACGACCTCGTCGAGCAAATGCAGTATCTTTACGTGAAGATCGTGAAGGCGAAGGACGTCTCGACACCGTTCGGGGGTGGCGGCGAGTTGGTGGCCGAGGTCAAGCTCGGGAATTACAGGGGCATCACGAAGAGGGTCGGTTCGGGTTCTAGCTCGAACGGTGTCGAATGGGGCCAAGTCTTGGCCTTTTCAAAGGATTGCATACAGTCGTCGGTCGTGGAGGTGTTCGTGAAAGAGAGTAATAAAGATGAGTTCTTGGGTCGTGTCTGGTTCGATCTCAATGAAGTCCCTAAGAGAGTGCCTCCCGATAGCCCGCTGGCGCCGCAGTGGTACCGGATGGAGGACAGGAAGGGCGAGAAGGCGAAGTCCGGGGAGGTGATGATCTCCATCTGGTTCGGGACTCAGGCCGACGAGGCCTTCGCCGAGGCATGGCACTCCAAGGCGGCGAACGTGAACTTTGACGGCCTGTGCTCGATCAAGTCCAAGGTTTATCTGTCGCCGAAGCTGTGGTACCTACGCCTGAGCGTCATCGAGGCTCAGGATATCGTTCCGGCGGAGCGGGGCTCGGCCATGGCCCGGTTCCCTGAGCTCTCCGCGAAAGCCCAGGTGGGCAACCAGTCCTTGAGGACGAGGGTTGCGCCCGCTGCACCGAACCGGAGCCTCTCGAACCCGTTTTGGAATGAGGACATGGTGTTTGTTGTCGCGGAGCCGTTCGAGGATTATTTGATCCTCTCTGTCGAGGACCGGGTTGGGCCTGGCCGCGATGAAGTGGTCGGGCGGGTGCTTCTCCCAGCAACGGCCATCGAGAGGAGGACCGATGATAAGCCGGTGGTTTCTAGGTGGTTCAATCTTGACAATCACGTCGGCAACGCTGCCAATTCGAAGATCGTTACCAGGTTCAGTTCTAGGATCCATCTCCGCATCTCTCTTGACGGGGGCTACCATGTGCTGGATGAAGCGACGATGTATTGTAGTGATGTTAGGCCGACTGCAAAACAGCTCTGGAAGCCTCACATCGGCGTGCTCGAAATGGGGATCCTGGGAGCCACGGGCCTCATGCCTATGAAAATCAAGGAAGGGAAGGGCGGATCGACGGATGCATACTGTGTTGCTAAGTACGGTCAGAAGTGGGTTCGGACTCGGACTGCGGTCGATAGCTTGGCGCCCAAGTGGAACGAGCAATACACTTGGGAGGTGTTTGATCCGTGCACCGTGATCACGGTCGGGGTGTTCGATAATACCCGAGTCGACAAGAACATAGCGAGCAATGCTGGCCCAAGGGATGCGCGGATTGGGAAAGTAAGGATTCGGCTATCCTCTCTCGAGTCTGACCGGGTCTACACACACTCGTATCCGCTCTTGATGCTTCACCCTTCAGGAGTCAAGAAAATGGGCGAGCTTCACTTGGCCGTGCGGTTCTCTTGCGCTAACATGGCCAATATGCTGCATATGTACACAATCCCATTGCTCCCGAAGATGCATTACGCGCACCCGTTGTCTGTAAACCAATTGGACACCCTGAGATACCAGGCCATGAACGTGGTGGCGTTGCGGCTGAGCCGGGCCGAGCCTCCCTTGGGGAGGGAGGTGGTTGAATACATGCTCGACCACGACTCCCACATGTGGAGCATGAGAAGGAGCAAGGCCAACTTCTTCAGGCTAATGAGCGTTCTCTCCGGCGCCATGGCCATCAAACGCTGGGTCGAGTCGATCCGCAATTGGCACAAGCCAGTGTACTCGGCATTGTTCGTGGCGGTCTTCCTGTGGCTCGCTTGCTGCCCTGAGTTCATTATCCCCATCATGCTTCTATTCATGGCCTTGATGGGTCTATGGCGGTACCGGTCCCGGCCCCGCCACCCACCACACATGGACACGCGCCTCTCTCACGCAGAGAGCGCTTACCCTGACGAACTCGACGAGGAGTTCGACTCGTTCCCGACGAGCCGCAGCGCGGAGGTAGTGAGGATGAGGTACGACCGGCTCAGGAGCATGGCTGGGAGGATCCAGACTGTGGTCGGCGACATGGCCACTCAGGGCGAGCGGTTCCAGGCTCTCCTGAGCTGGCGCGACCCGAGGGCGACGTTCTTGTTCATAATCTCCTGCCTCTTTGCTTCGGTCGGGTTTTATGCGGTGCCGTTCAGGGCGGTGGTGGCTCTGTGGGGGCTGTACGTGCTGAGGCCACCGAGGTTTCGAAGCAAGTTGCCCAGCCGAGCTCTGAGCTTCTTCAGGAGATTGCCCACAAAGGCTGATAGCTTGTTGTAGGAAAAGCATAATCTAATGGAACTGCTAGGTAATTTGGGGACGTAGTTGAGTATAATATGGGTGGTACTTTTTGTGATAGTTATTGATGTGTTAGTGTCATGTCTAGATGGTAAAAATGGAGGTGTCGTGTGGTTACTGGTTAGTGGTGGGGTATTTAATGTGGTTTTCAATGGAGCATTTTGTATGTAATCAGATGATGAACTCAAGATGGATGCCTCCAGTAGAATTTAAGCAGTTTCCTTTGAGTGATGTGTTGGTGTGATTGTTCCTCTCTTTTCCAGGTGAACGTTTCTGAGAGACCAACCCTCGATTCTTAATTTCTTGCGATTTTCTTTCTGTAACTCTTGCAAAAAATGTCGCAACATTATAAAGAACGGAAAGACTTTACGATAAACGGGCAATGTTTACTCTTTTTCTCATCCAATGGTCATCGAGAGATTGATATGTGACATTGGTATAACACAAATTAGACATTGGAATGGACAATGACATAAAGCTAGACTAAAGAAGCGGGGAACAAGAAAGAGAAGGATTGGGCACCGGCAGCCCAAGCGAGGTCCGACGACAGACGCCATGCTCAAGCAACAGTTGCCACACCGTCACCTAGAACCAGCTCGACCATCCATCCCCTGCTCTCCTCAATTCTTCCATTCAATTCGGTGAAAAAAGAACTATGCATCCGGCCTCGCGTAATTCCCGGGCTCGAAACGGGAACCAAACCCGTCATTACGCTTGAATCAGCTCTTTATCTCATGAGCTCTGGTCCAACTTACTCTTGTTGCTACCAAGTTCATGAAAGTAAACTCATCAAAGAGAACAAAAAGGAGAACCAAGTGGAATAAGGGAGCGTAAGGAAGACAAGCCATTTGAATTACCTCTTTATACAACACATTTACTCCCAAAAGATTGAGGATCGCACGCCTGAATTCGGAATTTATGTAATTTATTTTTGTACGGCAAAGAGATAATAACCTTTTAGAAACCTTCGTATCATCTTTACTCCATTAGACGTCCTAATTACTTTGATCGATCAACGAAGCTCACTCAGCCAAAAGAAAGAATGGACAACAAAGAAAATCTCATATTGCCGACTCATACCCACGATATTGAGGCTGCAATAGGCAATCCCCTTTGCTCCAAAGTTTATGGAGGGCTAATTCGAGCTTAGCATGTCAAACATTGATGAGAACTTGCAATTCAATGCAAAATTGAATTAAACTAATACATCTACATATACAATGGAGAGAGAGTATCTGAGTAGAAACCTCCAACCATGTGGTGTGATGAATCAAAGTGTTCAGAATCAGCATTTGCAGATGATTTTTTTCACTCTTCCCAAACTTCAGGTAACCCAAATTTTTTGAAACCTACACCAATGACCACCCCCAAAGAAACCCTGGCCGATTGGAACTGTACACTTGCCCCTTGAATGAAAAGACCTCATACCTCATATCCATCATGCCAGTAATGCCGCGGCAGAAGACCGCCATGCTCGCTCACACTCCCTCCTCTCAATCTGTAGAAGGCCGGTTTGCTCCTCGCAGTCCTCAAAGGACCTGATCTGTTCCCATGCTGAACTGGGAGAGAGACATGGTCCCCAACGAAACTCGAAGCTGAAAATGGTCTGTTCTCCACATCTTCAAGTGGGCCTGAACTGTACTCCATCGTGATGAAAGATGTGGCATGCCCGTAAGTCAGACGAGGGGTGGCGCCACCAGCATTCCACCAACTGCTATCTGAAGGTGCCAAATCCCCCTTGAAGTCGGAGTCCGGAACTGAAGAGTCCTTTTGACTGCAATAATCCCCACACATCTCATCAGCATCGTTGTAAATAAGCTTCAGAGCTTGCACGACCTCACCCATGAATGGTCTCTGTGTCACCTCAGGGTGTACACACATGGAGGCGATAGAGGCCACCTTAGCCATGTCATCGAAATTGTAGCTTCCGGCCAAGGCGGGGTCCACCAATTGCTCCAAGCCCTCTCTACTAGTTAGTAAAGGTCGTGCCCACGTTACAAGATTTTCCTGTCCCTGAGGTTGGGACATATCCACAGGCTTCCGACCAGTTATAAGTTCAAGCAATACAACGCCATAGCTGTAAACATCGCTCTTGACAAGTAGATGGCCAGTCATTGCATACTCTGGGGCAACATATCTGCAAAAATATCAAGTAGACACATGCCAAAGGAAAGGCGTCATTGCATTTGCGACTAACATTATCTAAGGGCAAAACTTACACTATGCCATAGTAGACAAAGAAAAGAGTAAACAGATATTTTGCGTGCAGAATAAGAGGAAAAGAACCAGGATAGGGCACAAGAATTACAGAGCCTAAAATCGTCATTTCTGTGGAAATGTATGGTACTCTAGTTGATGGCAAAGAACCTAACAGGTTCTATGATTCTATCATCTAAACTCAAACTGGGTTTCCAGATGTAGTCAGTAGAACTCAATAACATTGCCTAAACTGAGAAGGAAACCTGATCTCACGGGTGCAAAACTGAAGATGAGTGCCCACATTCATAGATTGCTCTACATAAATAAGCTCACCAATTTCTCCGTTAATAAGTACTGGGAACTTATTAATGGTAAGCTAAAAACAATATGACATGATCATGAACAAAAGCCAAAGACAATTACCCAAAAGTTCCCATGACACGAGTAGATATATGCTGACTCCCCTCGGTTGCTTCCCTTGCCAACCCAAAATCAGAAACCTTGGGAGTGAAGTCATCCTCCAGCAAAACGTTACTAGCCTTAAAATCTCGGTGTATCACACGTGGATTAGAATCTTCATGAAGATAGGCCAATCCCCTAGCTGCTCCAAGGGCAATTTTCATCCGAGCTTCCCAATCAAGAGGTCCCTTCTTCTTATCAGCACCTGAAATAATAAGATAGTCACTAGTCCAACATAATAAAAGAATGCATGTAGGGAGAAAAATAATTTTCATACATAAAATAATATCTCGTTGTAACACAAAATTCACAGGGGAGTAAGTACCATGCAAATGGGATTCAACACTGCCATTGTGAACAAGCTCATATACTAGGCAGCGTGTGCGTCCTTCAATACATATGCCAAGCAACTTCACAAGATTGCGGTGGTGCAATCTGCTTAGCATCTCTACTTCAGCAATAAATTCACGGTCACCATTCTGCTGATCTCTTGTAAGCAGCTTAACTGCAGTTTCAGTTCCATCTTCCATGGTCCCTTTGTAAACACGCCCAAATCCCCCTTCACCCAAAACCCTCTTGGAGCTGAATTTATCCGTTGCTTTATCAAGCTCAGCTAGGCCGAATGTTTTAACAGAGAGCATACAAGGAGCCATGGTGGACATTAGCGATCCAGATTCTGAACTTGCGATGCTACTGGATAAGATAGAACCAATACCTACACATATGTAAACATTAACAACAAGTACAATTAAAAGAAAAATGCTGGGGTTGAGGACAGAACTAGAATAGATATTTTCTGCTTCCTACTCACACAAGCCCATATCCTTGTTTTTCAATCAATCTCTAATTCTAAAGGCATCATTGCATGACAACCAGTCACATAGCATCTGTTCTATAGAGACTTAAAACTCAGCTGACCAAATAGGAAAAAAGATCAAAGACCCAAAGGAAACCTTCACTTGCTGGAGGAAAAGATCATATACCAAGGAATTAACTTGTTGTACATAAAAATAACATTTCCTTTTTCCTTCGACCTTTGTAAAACCAACATAAGATACTAAAAGCTTAAGCTATTTAGTGGAGAAAATAACATGCATATAAGACAATGACAAATCTCACAAAGGAGCGATGTCAAAAATAAAAATAAAAAATACCCCTCCCATGCAAACTGCAAACCATATGAAGAACACACTGGAGTCAAACAACAATGAATAAATGAATAAGCATCCCAGCATGAAACAATTTATTAGATGGGGAAACTATTTACAGTGTCACTAACAAAAAAATAAGTGATAAGGCGTTGCTTGCCATAAAATAAGGTACACCCCAGAACATACCAGATCGTTTGTTTATGGAGGAGGTGAATGCTGGACCGACAGCACTTGATGGTCTTCCAAACTTCTTCCATTTTAAAAATATGGAAAATCCTCCAATCAGAACCAATAGAAGCACAAAGGCAGACAGAGATATTATCGCAATGGTTCTAACGTTCATCCTCTGGTTCTTGTTGGGAAAATTTGCAGTAATAGGGAATTCTCCAGAAGCTCCAGTGGGTCCTTTGCTGGTGAAACCCCCAAATGGAGGTGATGAAGGTATGCCTGACAAGAACTCTTTCAGTGACAAAACGCAAGCCTTTAGAAGCCAAGCTTTTTTATTTTGCAAGGAGAGTTAGACTAATACCTGTATAATTAATGTCCATCACTTGGTAATTACCAAAAAGTGAAGCGTTTAGAGGCACTTTGTTATGCCAAAACCTGTCGTATATCAATATTGCAGTGGTATTATCAAACTTCTCTCCCAGTGGAACCAAGTTTATATCGACTGTGGTCCTCCCTTGATTTTGACTATCAGCACTTGCACCCATTATCTGCACTTGACTCTGTTCCAAATATGTGCCAGCTGCGATCTCAATCTCTAGCTCATTCATCACTGGAAAGACAGCATAAGGAGCTACATCTAGGAGAAGCCTGACTTTCATTGGAAACACACAACCACAAGGTGAACCAAAGGGAGTTGCTGTAAGTGGCCCCGTGCAATTTTGATCACAACCTGCCAGAACCTCACTTATTTGAATTAGCAGAACTTTTGTTTCTTTGGGTTTCAAGCAACAGGAAAGAATTTCATAACAAGTGCACCAAAGGAAGAAAAGTTTTACACAATGACAATATTAAAGTTGGGGATTAATAAGGAGAGAAGAGCAATGTGCTATCAGTTGAAGACAAATGCTATTAGAACATCTGCTTCGTGGAACATTGTGGTCAAGAGAAACACAAAAAAGATACAAGAGAACTATCTTCATGTTGGTACAGTCCAGTTAAAAGAACAAAATAATATGCTGTTACAAAATGACAGCCAATGCACTATTAGAGTAGCAACTTATGCCGATGTAATGCCCACTTTTGTGATCTGCAATCTGGATATCAACAAAGTTTCTAGACTATTGAAAGTATGGCTCTCCAATAGCTTCGGTTTTTCATGCTGTCTAAATTACTATATAGTCCACAAAAACCACAAAACTCAACAGATTCAGAGTGATAATTTCTTTTCCAGATAAACGCGAAACAACTCAAAAATTATCCAACGACTTTCAAGCAAAACATCTCATGCATACAAATGAGATAGAGATTTCCCGAAAATGTAACTGCCAATAAAACATGCTTCAAAATATTAAACCTAAACCTGGTCCTTTCGAAGGGGACGGAGCAGCCACATGAGGTCTGGCACGATGGTGATGATGGCCACGGCGTCTTGCCAAGGGACTGTTAGGACTGGGAGTAGGAGCTAGAACAAAAGATCGAACCGGTAAGTGAAAAGACAATTATAACCAAGGGCCAACAATTATGAACACAGGATCCAGGTACACACCAGAATAACCGGGAGAGGGTGCTGGTGATAGGGATGGTCCCAAAGGAAGCCTACCAAACTGCTTCAGGGAATATTTTGACAGAGCAGGTGACACGCTTGTCAGGAGTATTCTGGCTGTATGAGATGGAAAAACACCATATGTGACCCACGTGTGCATGATTATATTTCTCTAACGGTACCATAAATGCATGATGACTTATGAGCAGTTTAATAGGGACGCATATAATGGAAACCTTAAGACGAGATTAAGAAAGATGGACAACTGTAGCCACTAAGCAAGGTCATTTAGTGTCAACAGCATAAAGCACTTATGCCTGATCATTTATCAGAACACTTACCACTTTCTGCCGACCGTCTAGCTAAAAATGGCTGACTCGGCTGAAGAGAGGGAAACAAGTATATATGTGATGAAGGGAGCCCTGGCATAAAAAGAAGACGACCTGTTAAACATGTGGGTCATTTTTTTCCCAGATTTTTTAACATCATAGACTAGTTCATAAATAGAAATGATGACAATGCCCCTATGAGTAAACTCTTTCATCTTCATGTGAATGATAACAATGGAGGGCTATGCATGTCACCCCTTTTTAATATGCATAGCAACCATTTAGTTAAACACTTGGCTTAGCTCAAGTAATGAGGCATCTTCATATTCATACAAATTAAGAGTTCTTCAAAAGAGAAAGCATTGACATTTTTCATTTGAATTACTTCCATGAGGTAGTTCTAGCTTGAACAAAAGGAACGGCAGTGCTTAAGAAATCACGGTAAAAGGAACACGTTATGTGAGTTAAATAAAATTATTTAAAATGCATTTTTTTCAAGAGCTGACGTAGGAGTAGAGTATGCCCCTTCGCTCAGATAAATTCTGTCAAAGCAAAGGAACAATACTAGTGGTTTCTTTAAGTATTCGCTGGTGGGCAACATACTTGCACGTAAAGGCAAATGCAACATCCAAACTCATTCCGGGGCAGTCAAAACACATGCTTAGAAGCTTCGCTTCTAAAACTCATTGTCATCGTCACCAACAACGACCTGAGGCATCTATCCAGATGGTCTATTCCATAAATTATCGCAGAGCATCGTGTGGTAAAGGATCTGACTAGCTGGTATCAGCAGTTTTAAAAAAAAAAAAAAAAAACCATAGAGGGTTATTCAAAGTATCGCAAACGAGCAACTCTACTTTCTTCTAATTGCTAATTGATAGCTCTCAGTTCCTCGAGTACGGACAAATGAAATTGAAGCTACATTTCTCAATTCTTCACGCGCTAATGTCGGAAACACTCGAACTAGCAGATTCCAGCGAACTGAGACCCATCAAGGTGCCGAAATCAAGTAGAATCGCAAGCAACCCGCAGCTGACGGGGGAAAAACAAACCAAAGAACCCGACCTGAGCAGAGCAAAAGCAAGTTGAGAAGAGAGAGAAGCCTCGGGATCAGAGCACGCGGCGGCGGCGGCATCATCATGTTCCTTCACGCGAGCAAGACCTCCCCACCCCGCGCACAGAGCATCCTCAGCAACGGGGGCACCGGCGCGCGCCGGCCTCGCCGGAGATGCACCGGGCGTCCGCGGGCCGAGGGCGTCGGCGGCGTGGAGAGCCTTCGCGGGAGAATCCGGTCGGAGAGGGGGAGCGCATGGCGCGCGCGCCCGGTCCCGGGCGCGCTCGGAGGCGGCGGCGACGGGAAAACCCTAGGGAAGGGACCGGGACGGGGGGGCAATGCCGGGGGTGGTGGGGGGTGGGGGGTGCGGGAGGGCGGCGTAGATCCACGAAATGCGGCCGCGGTTCCGGGAGGAAAGGGACGCCGGCCGCCGCGAAAAGGCAAGGCGCGCCTTTTGCGCGTACAAAAGGTTTGCTGGGAGGGAGTGAGAATGGCCAGTAGCGAAGCGGTGGATCTGGAGAGAGAGAGAGAGAGAGAGAGAGAAGAGAACAAAAGAGAGATCTTGGAAAGTTGGAAGGGAGGGAGAGAGAGAGAGAGAGAGAGAGATGAGTGAGAGTGAAGTGACAGCGAGAGTGACAGAGAGGAGAAAAATTATATATGCGTCTTTATTCAGAAATGAGCTGATAAAGTTGTCTCGGTTTTTCTTCGCAGCAACTTTAAAAAAAAAAGAAGAAGAGAAAGTTGTGCGGTTTCATGAAGATGGCCAAAAAAGGACCTTTGAACCGGAACATTTACGATAAATTTATCTTGCGACGAATTTACCTTCAATTATTTTTCGTTAAATTTTATCATCGAATTGCTAAGTTAGATGACACGTGACGATTAACCGACGTACCAATTTGGGTTTCCGCCTTCCGTATATCATAGGTGTATCAGTTTATGATTTTTCGTAGTATTAATCAAATTTAACGGAAACTAACGGAGGGTAGATTTGTCACGAACATATCAGTTTGAGAATTTTCATGAAATTTACCCCCTTTTCATAACTTGTTATGCAGATAAATATCATGGTGGAAGTTAGGGGCGAAAGTGAGTTTTAAGTTAACTCGAACTCAACTACGTGAACATTCGAGAGACCGGCTCGTTTGATTTCGCGTCGGCCTCGAGCACGCCCGTACTCAATATCGGGCGCGAGACTAACCGAGCCCGATCGAGTTTCCGTTATTTTTTTCCAAATATCTTTTTTTAGTTGAGAAATAAACATATAGGTTATCCTCGATGTTGCAGAAGACGCCCGTGCTGCCTGAGCTTTTTAATTAAGATTGATATCGAGTTTCTTGATAAGTTAAGTCCCCGTTGCACGATATTACGAAAATTTGGACCTAGGTAAATCGACGGATGTTGGCCCGAGGGAGGAGCTGGGCTAGACAATTTGTAGGCGCGTATCCTGCCAAATATGGTTCGAGGAACTCCGTCCCGCTAATGGAGACGTCGTCATCGTCCAACGGATTATCCGCAAAAGCTTGGAACCACGTATAGAAAAAAAAAATTAGCGCTTGCAGACGAGTATCTCGACGGGCTAATTCAAAAAAAAAAAAGGCTCATTGGCGGAGGGGGGCTCGTTGGTGTTGGTGGCTAGTTGAGCACGAGGGAGCGAAGGAGTTCATCGGAACTACGCAAGATGCGACCGATGACCATAAAAAAAGATGCTTCTTCGCGACTTCTCTTCTTCTTCGTGTCCGGCTTATCATAAAAGTCATGATCGAGGCCATCGATCTGATTGGCTCATTGGCGTGGCGAATGGGCGTGTTTGCGAACTCGCTGGGACATGGTAGGCGAGCAGAGAGAGAAGAGTCGGAGCCGACCGGGGAGAGAGAAGAGCAATCCTAGACAGTGTTTTTGTATTATTGGGTTTAGGAGTTTACTTTTCTAATTTTATGTAGGGAAAAAACCACCAAAAACCCCAAACTTTCTCACCTGTGATACATTTACCCCGAACTTTTTTTTGTGACACAAAAAACCCCAAACTTTACTTTTTGTGACATATTTACCCCAATGTATTTAGTCCATGGGCATTTTTGTCTTTTTTGCTTTTTCTTTTTTTTTTTTCTTTTTTTCCCTTTCCGGCGAGGGGGGCCCTCGCCGGCGTCGGGCGAGGGCTGCCCCTCGCCGGCGTCGGGCGAGGTTCGCCCTCGCCCAGCGAGGGTCAACCTCGCCTGAGTCGGGCGAGGCCGCCCTCGCTCGCCCAGGCGAGGGCGACCCTCGCCTGATCTGGAGAGGGCCGCCCTCGCCGGCGTCGAGCGAGGGCCGCCCTCGCCCGATCTGGCGAGGGTGACCCTCGCCGGCGTCGAGCGAGGGTCGCCCTCGCCGGATTGAGCGAGGGGCGACCCTCGCCGGCGTCGGGCGAGGATCGACCTTGCCGGCGAGCGAGGCGCCCGAGGGCGGCCCTCGCCCGACTCAGGCGAGGTCGACCCTCGCCGAAAAGGAAAAAAAAAAAAGAAAAAGCAAAAAAGACGAAAATGCCCATGGACTAAATACATTTGGGTAAATGTGTCACAAAAAGCAAAGTTTGGGGTTTTTGGTGTCACAAAAAAAAGTTCGGGGTAAATGTGTCACAGGTGATAAAGTTTGGGGTTTTTGGTGGTTTTTTCCCTTTTATGTATGAATATTATCGTTGACCAGAAAGTTATTTCTGCTGACTAGCTATTTTTTGCGAACCAAAGGAATGAAAGTTGGAATAATTTACCCACCCATCGGTGGCCTCGTTGGTTTACGCTCAGTTCCTTTCACGAGAGGTCATGGGTTCAAACTCGCCCATCGGTGATTTAAGTAGGGGGTCGTGGCGGTGGGATGCTGCGCTAACCCCCCTCGAGGACTAGTCGGGCATCACCGCTGGTTTGAGTCCTAGCTCGCCGGCCGCGCGGACACCTCGATTATAAAAAAAAAAAAGGTTGGAATAATTAATTTCCAAAAAACACTTTAACTTAAACAAACATATCCTAAATTAAAAAAAAAACCGACATGGCGGTTGCCCCAAATTGATGATTGCTGCTGTGTAATGCACGCGCGGGACGAGGCACGTGACGTGAACGGAGACTTATGTCTAAAATATTCAAGGATTATCCTCATTTTTCAAAAAACCCCAAACTTTAACTTTGTATTATCAACTTTTTGTCTCAAAAACCTCAATTATCCGGCGAGTCGCGGTCCCGTCGGGCGGGCGCCCCCTAGATCGGGGCTAAGCCCGCCGCGACTGCGCGGAGGTCCGCCGAGGCCCGGCGCGCGCGAGCCTGCGCCTCCCAGGCGGCGACCTCGCGGGTCCCCTGATCGGGCGGGTCGTGCCTCCCGATCGGGGCTCGGCCGGACTCGCCGGCGGGGTCGCCGCCTGAGCGGGCGCCCCCGAGGCGGGCCTGCGGCCTCCGGCGGCGACCTCGCCGCGGTCGGCCCGATGGGCGAGGTCGCGCCCTTCATCCCGGGAGGCGCACCGCGAGCCGTCTTTTTTTTTTTTTGACAGTCGAGTAGATCGAAAAAGTTTGAGGTTTTTCTTGAGATAAAAAAAAGTTCAGGGTTCCTTACCTTACCAAAAAAAAAAAAACAAAAAAACAAAAAAAGTTCAGGGTATAATTGGGACAAAGTGTAAAGTTTGGGGTTTTTTTTTGAATTAGGCCCATTTTGAGGTTTCCCGTACATTAGAAAAAAATGAATACGAGAAGTCGATGAATACTTTTTAGTTCGTATAATTCCAAGATGATGATAATAATAATATGCAAAATGGAATTTTCCTCAGAATTGTTTTAATCGAATGGAGTTTTCCAAGAGATTCTTAATATGTTTATATTTTTTATTTCTATTATTATACCACAGGATGCTGCCCGAAAAGCAGGGGAGGAATACTCGCCGACGGGCTTCGGGTGCGAGATTTTCAATAGAAAAATGGAAACATATTAGGCTGCGCATGGCAACTTGCCAAATAGTGTTTGATTCTATTCTTTTGTTCCCAGAATCAGTTTGGGAATAGAAATCCGTTTGTTTAATTTTTTGATTATGGGCACAAATTCTTGCAAATTTGTGCCAGAATCAGTTTTGGAGCAGAATCAAGAATTAAAAAAAAGTATCTTCTTGATTCTGGGAACAAAAATGAGAATCAATGTTTTTTTCTTCTTCTTTTTCTTGGTTTTTAATATAGCTTCTAATGTCGGTGAGGGCCACCTGCTCAGTATCTGCGAGATTAAAATATTTTAATAAAAAATATTATTAATAAAAAAATTTTACCACCATGGTCCGCGACCAGGCCATGGCGAAAAAAAATAAAAAAATATATTATTAATAAAAAAAATTACTGGCCAAGGCCAGCGACCAGGCCATGGCGAAAAGAATAAAAAAATTATTTTCAATAAAAATATTTGTTATTAAAATATTATTAATAAAAAAATATTTTACCGGCCAGGCCATGGCAAAAAAAAAATGAAAAAAATTCAATAAAAATATATATTTTTTAAAATATTATTAATAAAAAATATTTATAAAAAAAATATTTTACCGGCCATAGCCAGCAACCAGGCCATAGCAAAAAAAAAAGAAAAAAATATTTTCAATAAAAATATTTTTAATAAAAGTATTTATAAGAAAAAAAATATTTTTAATAAAAGTATTTTTTTTAAAAAATTATTAATAAAAAAATTATTTATAAGAAAATTTTTTACCGGCCATGGCCAAAAAAAAATAAAAAAATTATTTTTAATAAAAGTATTATTAATTAAAAAAAAATTTACCGGCCATGGCCAATAAGGAGGAGAAGAAAAAAAGAAAAGAAAGAAATATTAAAATATTTAAAATGTTATTAAAATATTATTCATAAAAAGAAATTTTATGCCGTTACCAAACGCATTTCTGTTCTTTTACTATTTCAGGAATAGAAATTTTGGGCCGTTACCAAACGCCTTCAAATGCTCAGAATCAGTTCCCGGGCACAGAATAAAAAAAAATCATTTCTGACCAGAATCTGTTCTCGGGCACAGAATGATTGCCATGCGCAGCCTTAGAATCAATAAAATAAATTGATTTACAAAGAAGAAAACATTAAAAAAAAATCATACATGAGTTTTCACCCGATCGGCAAAAGGTCGAGGTCTGCCAATTCGTTAGCGCCATCGAAGTTGTCGCCCCCCTCCGTTTAGTCCTCGCGCCAATGCTCGTCTCTTGGGATAATGGTGATGGGGGTGTCAGGTTGACGAACATGTAGGGGCACGACGGAGGCGAGGGCCGGCATCAGGAGAGGGTGGCTGAAAAAGGCCAACAAGTTTAGGTGTGTGGGTTTTGTGATATCAAGGGTTCCGAGGATGTTTACGGAAGGAAGGGTCATCGTGTCATTTTAGCGGAGCAGATATTTGTAATTAGTAAATTTGAAAATACATATATATGTATATATTTGGTCACGAGGTGATAACTAAGGCATGTTTTTTTGTATTTTCCCTTTACGAAATGATACAGTCGATTGCATGTGTCTTACTTACTGAATGTTTGCATTTAATAACATTGAGAATCAAACACGTGTCGTGCGCCTAATTCGCTCATAAGAGTCCACTCGTTGATCAATGATCATAAGCCCAATGCATAGGTCGACATCGACGGACTCACCAAGCGTACGAGCGCCGAGGCCCGTTTTAAATGGCGTATACGAAATTAAGGCCCAAGGAATTACCCTTTTGGACAAGGGTGCACGTCAATCTTTCCCTCCTGAAGCACCTGATTCCGTTGCTGGAAGTCCATCAAAGAATAAAACCGGTGTAGCCTTACTGTCAATGTTAACACTAATGGCACCGATCAAGACATCAGGAGCATCACAAAAGTCCATTGAAAGAATGACAAGAGTTTTCAATACTAGACTAGAGAAAAAAAAAATGTATGTAGCCACAAGTGCAAGGCACTCCGCCGTCCCTTTTGGGGCGATGGTGGGGGCGGCGCCACCCCCCACCAGATGTGGTCGCAACGCAAGCCCTAGTTTTCCTTTTTAGTTCGTGTTTTTTTTTTAATAAAAAAAAAACTTTTGGACTTTGTTTTAACCTAATCTAATTAACATTTGGTGTAACGAATTAGGATTGGGACCAAAACGACGTCGTTTTGGTGCTTTAGTTAACATTAACGTCAAATGGGACGCTACATAGGAGAGAGAAATAATAATAAAAAAAGACGCATCGGAATTTTTTCGTTAGTCAAATTAAACGGAATTAGCAAAAAGACTTGATTACATCAATTTGACAAGTTTTAGAAAAACTTGATTACACTTTTTGAGAATTTAAGGACTCAATTGTATATTCTGAAAGTTTTAAAACTCAATTGCACTTTCACGACTTATCCTAATCATAATAACTCTTTTAAAGTAGGATAGGAGGCTTGAAAAATGCCGAATGATCTACATAACTAGACATCTACTCGGAGTGTAGGTTTTGTAAAGGCAATTTCGGCCTCGAAACTACTAAACATCTCCGGGAGCTCATCGACGCGTCGACAATGACCAAGCCAGTCGACATCGACGGAGCCAAGCCCTAGGTGGAGCCAGTTCTGACTATGCCTTTTTTTGCACGAGTTAGATTTGGCTTGGGTTAAGGCTCCGCCATTCTTAGCCCGGCCAGATTTTTGGCTATGAGCAGGTCATCGACAGGGGAAGGTTAGGGATGAGGAAGGCCTTGCGCACGACAACACGAGAGAGACTGACGAGGGCTGTAAGCTAGAGTCGTTGGCATCGAAAGCGGCAACGGCGGCGGCGGCGAGGGGCCGATAGTGGGCGGCTGATGGCGGGGGAAGGGAATTATGGTTTTTCCTTGTCTTGGTTAAACTTACTCATAAATTTTCTTTTACCGGATGTGCAAATGCGGGCCACCGGTCCCGGCAGCAATCCCAACTGCGGCACGACCCCTTCCAATTGTAAATAGGTTTTTTACTCAAATGGAGCACGTTCAACATAACGTACTTTACGTTTTGTAAACAAACTCGAACTTCTCTCCCTGCTTCAAAAGTTAAAAGCATCGGCATCAGAATCACAATTTTTTGACCGGTCAAAGAACCGCCAAAAGCCAAATCTGAACTCCGAAGACCCACAAGAATAAGAATTTTTGCTCAATTTGGACATTCACGCATTGACTAACAATCTTGTCCTTTGAACCAAGAGACAACTACGTTGATCCGAAGTCTATAGTTAATTAGTTAACACAGGAAGAGGATGACATATTTATGTATATAATCTTGAAAGAATAAGCACCTAACATACAGAATCATTCTGCGAACATAACAAGAGACTGCATATGTATTTATGGATGTCACCAATGATTATGCACGTAGGAGTATGTTGAGAATGACTAAGAAGAAGATGATGCCGACGATGAAGATGGCTCGAATTTGTAGTACTTATCGACAGCAACGGACACGTCCCAAGTGCAACTGATACCCTTGGGAATGGTCACCAAGTCTCCCGCGGCAAACTCCACAAAGTCTTCAGACAACGCCGGCGCTGACGCCGACAACCCTTTTGAATATGCCTTGACCCTGCCCTTGAGAAGGTAGCACGTTTCTTCTGCATCAAACTTGAGCCGATACTTCCCAGGTGGGCAAGCCCATCTTCTTATCAGGAAATAATAAAAAGGAGACAGGCACAGAGAAAAGTAGGTTAACCATTTATCTACATCTGCGTGCAGTTATAGTTGAATCATGCAAAATCAACTCTCGACTCTTTGAAGGCCAGGACTAGAACTTTCTGTGCCATATTGGTTTTTCAGCACAAGTCTCTTCACCGTAACTGGTTATTTTCCCAAAGTTTGGAAGGGCCAAAGTGAAGAACGGAGGGGAAAAGGCCGCAATAAAACTTCTATACGGAACACGAAGAATTAACACAAATTACTTCCGACTCGAGACGAGTTTTTTCTTCTCAATTTCAGTTACAAGAAGCGCCTTTCGAGCTCGCTTTCTCGACATCTGCTTATTATCTTGGTTGTTCTAGGTTTGTCTGATTTTTGACATCCGCACGTCATGTTTGACATACTCATACGCCAAATCTTAGGCAGGATAGAGAGAGAGAGAGAGAGAGAGAGAGAGAGAGAGAGAGAGAGAGAGAGAGAGAGAAGATTTACTTGGGCCAGAACTTGATGTTCAGCTCAGACAGTCTGGACTCCGAAGGGTTTCTTTCGACAATGATCTTCGGATTCTCGGAAGAACTACTTGGATTCGAGACCGCAGCCATTGTTGATGAAGAAGAGAAAAATGGGTTCACCTGATGCTGTATTCTTTACTTACTTGCACTTAGAGAGATAAAGAGAGAGGGAGAGAGGGAGAGAGGGACCTTCTTTAGGAAAGAAGAAGAATGAAGGAGCAATGGTTTAGTGGTGGTTTATAAATAGGCAAAAAACTTAAAAGAAGTTCGGTTGGGGAAGAGATAGCTGGACATTATTATTATCTGCTTGCCCTATGAATACCAGCAGAATATTTTGACTAAATCTTGTTTGTCGCTATTTAATTCTCATTAGGTTGTACAACATTCGCTAACCATCACACGTACATAGCGACATCTAGATTTGATTGGGAATTGGGCATTTTCTATCTTATCGTATTTTGCTGGAGATTATTCTTTTGAGCGTCATCGTCCCCTAAAATCCGGGTTTTTTCTCGAACCCTTGGTTCTTCACCAATACTTTTTACTAAAAGAGGGCACTTTCAATCGTATCATCGAAAGCATTTTGTGCCGTATAAGCACCGATGATGGCCTTTCTTATTTTCGATTATTGATTCTCGATATATTATGAGAAGATTTAAAACAGGTAGATAGTTCGATTAATAATTATAATTAATGCTAAATACTTAATTTACTATTGCACACATAAAGTAACGGTAATTACTACAATATTATTAGTAATTATAGAACAGGTAGATAGTTAGATTAATATAACTACATACCATACATAGTTATGCTCAATTTAATAAATGACTAGTTTCTTAATATTTTACTGAAGATATAATAGTATGAAGGATAATATAAGATGTTTATTGTAATATATATGATATGTCTACAACAATTTATCATTCATTATTCAGAAAGGTAACTTCTAGTTGGGCCAAAGTAACGTTGGTGGGGAAATTCTTTTTTTTATCATACATAGTATCCAATTTTTTGCTAAAAATAACTTTTTTTTATTCTATCAAAAAGGTATATTTTTAGATTTTCTCTTTATTCGATTGACATAATAAAAAAAAATACAGAAATTAAGAAAATCCACAAGAACACTTACATGGCACAAATTGCTCTTAATATGAAAATAAGACTAAAAATGTGGCCTTCTTTTGGGTAAAAAAACAGTTTGTATAGAATGAGGATTTAGAGAAAAAGAAAAGAAGAAAACTCACCCTAAACCCCACCATTCAAACGTCTGCTAAATGCATCTAGGAGTTTTAATCGTGTCTGACATAGTTTTGCAGAAGCAGACCGCGGTGGTCAATCTCAAATTTTCCTCGTCCGGCGTAGAAAAGCCTAAGAACTTCCCATTGGTGCTTGGACGAGATCAAACATCCGATGTCTGCTAGATAAGAGGAAAGTTTCAAATAAGAAACCTCGACTTGTAGATATTTGATTAAGAAACTACAAATCGCGACGGCTAGTGACCCTCGCTTGGATCCGGGAGAGGGCCATGATGCCCTCGTCCGAATCTTGGCGAGAGTTGCTAGTCATGTCATGTGGGATGCTTGGCGTTGACTGGGTATTTACGTAAGCATTTTTCAGCTAAAATTGATCAGGAGAATTATATATATTGACAGATCATTAAAAGGTTTATGATTGAATCGGCAAAATTTAAAAGTTTAGAACTAAATTGGAGGTTCTACAATTGGTTTAAAATATAATAAGAACCATTAAAATATTAAGAGTACATTTAGGGCATGAAGACATGAAGAGGCAGCTAAGTGTCTAGTTTTTTTTTTTTTTTTATGTGTCCTATCTCTAACTCTCCTCATTCTCTGACTCTTACTCTGCCTCTTGCAGAGCGCGCGGGAATTGAACCCCGCACCTGTGATATTAGCATCCCCACCCCTCAGCAGGGTCGCATGCCTATTGGCAATTGAGTGTGTACTTCAACGCAAACTAATTCGAGTGGTTAGTATTAAAAAAAAATAGACAGCTAAAATCAAAAGAAACCTTCAAAAAAGGGCAATAGCCCTAACTGATTATGGTTCCTCCGGTCAAAGGGTTGACCGGAATGCCCCCAAGCATGGGGCATTTGGGACATCATAGTTTGACCCAATAAATCTCCTAAAAATCAAGATGCCGACACCGCCCTTGGTGCCAAAAATTTCCCAATTGGAAAAGACATATTTGGAATTTTTGGGTCAGTTCGGGCTTGCAGCACGTGCCAACAGCACGTGCTGAGAGTTCGGGTCAAATCTGTTCGAAAGCCCCCACGTTTATTGGTTCAGCTTCTAGAAATTTTCTTTGTGCACTCTAGGGACACGTGGCCCCGACCGGAAGTTTATAAAGCATGATAAACCGAGGAGATGTCCAAGATGATTGGGCATGCCCCAAACCTTCTAAAGGTTTAGGGTTTGCATCAGTGTTTTAAGATGTTTTCGAACATGTTATGGATTAAATGCACTTGTATTTAAGAGGATTATTTTATTTGATGAGAATAGAAGATAGGTCGAGAGATTGGATTTCGATCATTTGATCAATGAGAGATCTATGCTTATAATTAGAGGGGCTCATGTCCATACAAAAATCCCGTCTTCTCATCTGTATCATCCCATAAATCCAACACAATTAGAGTGATAAATATTGTTCTCTCTCCAAAACATTGACACTTCTAAAGTTTTTTTTCAATGATTTGACGTTGGCCAAATGAGCGAGCAAGTGATAAAGTTGAGGGGAAAGCTGAGCTCAGGCGACTACAATGAGGAAAGAGCGAGTCAAAGGAAGTCTAAGTGCCGCATTGTTATAATCACAAGTATCGGCTCGTGACACATGAACATGGAGATCCGACTTCCTGAACACCGACGAAAATGCATTATAAGCCCGTGAAATATTCCGGCATGCACTGTTTTGTCGTCGCCGTCGATCACCTCGATGCAATAGAAGTATAAAGTCAACTCTCAATCATGCGAAACTCGAATTGTTAATGTTAGGATGTACATGGCATCAATGCTTCAAATTATGCTCCGAGGTCTAGCATTTTCGTTGGGAGAATAGAGTTATCGATAAGATTCTTATAATGTGGCTAAAGTTGCTCGAAACCCTTTTCTAGTGCTTATCAACGAAATAGATAGATGCATTAATCGATTACGGAGCAATCAGAAGAAGTCAAGGGAATTCCATCTTTTAACGAAATTAGAATGATTTTAACGCTGGTGACAACGAGGTCTTTCACGAAAATGATGTATCAAGAATTCGATTGTTAATGTAAACAGGTGGGACCTGTGCACATACTGAGTGATTTGTTTAGACGATCAATAGAAATCTGGCACGTCCTTGTATCAAGACCTTCCCACTCAGCACGAGTTCAAAAGGCCTTTGTTGTGAGATGGGTCCGACCCGGTTCTAAACATTGGGCGGGCCGGATCGACGACGGCCCTAAAGCCTCTTATTCGAGGCCCATCCATAGAGCCAAAATGTTGAATTTCCTTTGCAGTTCGTATGACTGGGCTGGGCTAGTTGGGCCCGAATGGAGAATAGCTTAGTGGGCTAGAGCGGGCCTATTGGTAGCCTAATCCCACCATTTCTAAACAGTGGGCAGGAATTGTCAAAACCACTCGTTCGTAGAAGTTTTCAATTTTCCAATTAAAAGTTATATAAAGAATATATAAATAAAGTTATATAAAAAGAGACGACAAAAGGCCATCTTTAGTCCCTACCTTAATAATAAGTTAATTGGGTCTTAACAAGTTCTTAAAATACCACAACCCAATACTCTGGGGTTGTGGATAAAATAAGGAGTATTCTCTCTCTCCTAAAAAGAAAAAGATTTGGAGGGAATTAGGAGTGCAGGGCGTGTAGGCATCGGCATGTAAAAAAAAGAAATACATCCACGAGGCCTGCTCGACAATATAGGACATGCCGCGAAGGTCCCTATAGGAGCTTCAGCTCCCTCTCTTTGGTGAGGTTGCCTCTTAACCGAACACCGGGGATCCAAGGAAAACCTCTTAATCGCATGCTTTTAAGAAAATACCCCATATTTTTCTTAATCGCATTCCTCCTAATTCATTCCAAATCTTTTTCTTCTCTGGAGAGAGAAAATACCCCATATTCTATTTATAACTCTCGAGTATTGGATTGTAGGCTTTTAAGGACTTGCTAAGGTCCTAAAAATAAACCTCGGGATCCCCCGTATCTTTCTACTATTTCTAAACAGTAGGTGATAGTTGTCAAAATCACTCGTTTGTAGAAATTTTCTTATTCAAATTAAAAGTTATATAAAGAATATATAAATAAAGTTATGTGTGAGAGACAGACTACAAAAGGCTATCTTTAGTCCCTACCTTTTTTTTTTCTTGGCGCCTAGTTCCTACCTCCAGTAATAAGATTTTCTTTTGGTCGAAACGTCAGTAATAAGTTAATAACTAGTTTTTACGCATGCTCCATGCACATGCCCGATTCGAATGACTTGTTCGATTAAGTAAAAAGAAAAAACATAGATATAAAATTTAAAGGTGAGGATACGTGCCACATAAAAGTAAAAGATTTGTTTGGTAATCGCGGGAAGACATTGAATTTTAGTCATTATATAATTCATTGATCACTTATTTTCTTTTTCATGTCAAAATCTGAATGACATCATATGCATTTTGATCATCGAAAAAGTGGGTAAAACATTTAAAAGTCGGCTTTATATATAATATTCATGATAGCTAATCCTGCTCTTATGTTGCTTTAGTGTGAGGTCCTTCAAGATTATTATTATTATTAACAATCAAAAACCACCCCATAAAATATATATATATATGTTTTCATTTCGATCGAGTCGTTGTCTAGCCATTTGCCGTGATCACTTGGTACATCGTGTAAGGAATAAGGATGATCATAAAATTAAATTTTCGAGGTTTATCACCCCCCCACCTTGATCCCAAAATCAAGGTACTGCCAAACTTAGAATAAGGTCGTCAATAGGCTACTTGCGAAGAACAGCACCACCTGGGGTCGGTGAAATCTGACTCTGGACATTTCCATCCTCTTTTTTTTTGGGGGTCGAAACTATATTATATGCTTAATTAACATTATCTTAATCAGATTTTATAAGCTTAATCGTAAGAGAAGTGAAGGCCATTCTATAAAGTTTGCATCACCCCCCCGCCCCCACTAGAGTCCAAATCTAGCGTGGCAGGACTCATGCCTTCCCGGAGAATCTTGATCTTTAAAAATTACCACTATGATTACCAAATTGAATTCATTTCATATCTGCATGTAATTAACAAAAAACACCCCCGAGAAATACCCAATTTTCAGCGAAAGAATCACAGGGGCTTCACTGCAATTTCCTCCTTCATCAAGGGCTATGATTTTGCCATGGAAGAGCTGACATTTGTCTAATGGCCAATGGTTGTCTGTTACACCCTTGGTTTTTGTTTTGTTTTTTTTTTTTTTGTCTAATGGCCAATGGTTGTCTGTTACACCCTTGGCTTTTGTTTTGTTTTTCCTTGTATAAATAGAGAAGATCAGACTGCAATTCGGAGAAACCCAGAAGTCAAATTTCTTGGCTGAATCCCTCAAGCCTGCAGCAGAATCTACTGGCTAAGCGGCCACCATGTCTCTGGCTCAAGGAAAATGGGTCAAGGTCGGTTTTTTTTTTCCGCTTCTGCTGTATATGGTTTCTTGCTTGTTGGTGGCTTGGGTCGTGGCCACCGGCCACTCTCTGATCTGCACTGTCTTTTGTCTTTTTACCCTTCTGCTGAAATGATCCGACTTTGAGGCCAACTCCGTGTTGTTTCGTTTGTTTACCCAGTTCTTGTTTTTTCTTTTTTACGAGGAACCTGAAATGGGAAGAGAGATGGGGTAGGTTTCTTGCAATTTGGCAACGGGATTACATGTTCTGGGTTGACCTCTTACTTTAGATGGGATTGTTCTTCAAAAGTCAATGACTTAGCAGTTGCAGTTGCAGTTGCAGAAAATGATGCCTCTATTAGTTTGATTTCACGGAGGAGAAAGAAAACTCTGTTGACTCTGCATATCAGCATATATACCTTCCACTCTACTAATTACTAATTTTGTTGTCACGTGCAACAATTTCGTGTTTGAAGATGATGGGGTCAGAATGATTCCCAGAAACATTAGACGAAACCGTCGAGCTAGTTTGACCTTTCTTCCCTGACCCATGAAAAGGGAAGAACGTGTTTCTTTCTTATCATGCTCAAAGCGAAGTGAATGCTTCAGTCGTTTTCCCTCTCCTAGTTCTTCAATTTGTCGAGCTAGTTTGACCTTTCTGGTATATTAGAGCCCATTGACTTTGATATGTTTTCACTTTGGAGTGATATTCAGTTCGAACTCACTCTTTCGTTCACGTACTCATCATCCAGAGCAAGAAGGCATGCTCTTTAGGTTTCGTATTGGATGTCGCCCACCTCTTTTGTTTGTCAATTCTATGCCTTTGCCTCTTCTGTTTATCAGATTAACCAGAAAGGAACTGCACCTGGGGCCAGAAGCTCACATGCCGTAGCAATAGTGGGTCACAAGGTCTACGCGTTCGGGGGCGAATTCGCGCCGCGTGTCCCTGTGGACAACAAGGTATATGTGTTTGACCTCGAGGAGAAGGCTTGGTCCATGGCCGAAGCCTCCGGAGACATCCCACCTCCGCGCGTCGGTGTCACCATGGCCACGGTCGGTGACAACATTTACGTCTTCGGGGGTAGGGACAGCACCCACAAGGAGCTCAACGAGTTCTATTCTTTCGATACGTGCACGAACAAGTGGGCCCTAATCTCCAGCGGAGACGTGGGTCCACCGCACCGGAGCTACCACTCGACGGCTGCCGATGACCGCTGGGTGTACATCTTCGGTGGGTGTGGTGTTAACGGGCGGCTCAATGATCTGTGGGCTTTCGACGTGGTCGATCAGAAGTGGGCCGAATACCCTGCCGCCGGTGAAAAGTGCAAGGGGAGAGGTGGACCGGGGCTGGCAGTAACCCGAGGAAAGATATGGGTCGTTTACGGTTTCGCGGGGAAGGAAGCGGACGACGTGCATTGTTTTGACCCGGTGCAAAATGAGTGGACCCAAGTGGAAACAGTTGGAGAGAAGCCCACCGCGAGGAGCGTGTTTTCTACGGTCGGTGTCGGAAAGTACATAATAATATGCGGCGGTGAAGTGGACCCGAGTGACTTGGGCCACCTCGGCGCCGGGAAATTCTCGCCCGAGAGCTACTCCTTGGACACGGAGACTCTGGCTTGGAAGAAGCTGGAGGACGGGCTCGATTCAGGCCACCATCCCGGGCCTCGTGGGTGGTGTGCATTTGCAAGTGGGAAGCTGAACGGGGAAAAGGGGCTCTTGGTGTATGGTGGCAATTCACCCAGCAATGACCGGCTGGATGACATCTACTATTTCACTCCCTGTCTTGCCTGAAGACTCGATTAAGGTTTTGATGTTTTGTGCTGTTTGGTGGGTGACTTTTAGAGTCTTGAGTGTGGCATATGAATAAGAAGTTGTTTCCAGTTGAAGTAATGCTCACTTGATTTGGATTGAAACGGAAGCACATCTCCTACATGTAAATAAGATTAATGATTTCGGTGTACTTAGTGAGAAATGCAAATGCAAAACCTCACTCAACCTCTCCCTTGGCTCTGCTAAGGTTGATGGTGGAGTTAATTCCTCGAGTTGTGGTTGCCTTTTGAGCCCTATGAATCAACCGAAAAAACAGAGAATGTGCCAAAATGTTCTTTTCAGAAACAGAATAACCTGCACAGCTGTAGAAGAGGGTGCGAGTTCTCAGAGGCAACGTATGCATTATTACTCTTTGTAGCGATTCTTTTATAATGGATCTCGATATCTGTAAAGGAAGTCTCAATAACAGATGAATAGTAGTTAGTGGGCAAGATTAAAAATTCTGCAAAAGCGTAGCTTGGGGAAGGGGAGGGCAAAATAAAGAAATCTTGCATTAATTATCATACAGTATAGTACATAATTGCTAAAAATTACACAGCGCGCCGATCGACTCGAGACGATGGCGTTCCCGCTAGTCCCCTTAAGTCGGTCATTCGTTGCAGGGTGGCAATGGTTTCTATAATCTTGGCCATCCCTAATTCAGAAGAAGGCGCAGTGCACCGTGACCGTATGACTAGCATACTCATAACACTCATCTTCTCTTGGAGAGGAGTTTCTTTAAATTAAAAAAAAAAAGCATCAGGTCGATTGATTAACATTGAAAGCATAACAGGAGGTCTTATGAAAAGAGCAGCAAGTGGGGTTCCATCATATGGCCCTTTAAACTTTTAATACTTTAATGTGCATCAAGAGAAAACAAAGGGTCAATAGCACTAAATGCTTTAGAGGGTATCCAAAGTCCCCACCTGGGCAAAATTCAGAATAGAGCAGAGCATAACATGTCCTAAAACCCTAATTCTTCACATCAGGACCCACAAGTGGTTAAGAAAATATGGAAAACAGAGCCAGCTTTAAAGTGAAATAACTCGAGCTTCAATTTCAAACCTTGAGCACTTGATGGATCCCATGGATATGTCTATCTCGATCAAATTATCATCTTCCTCATTCATCTCATTGATCTCAGCTAAGAGATCAGCTAGACAGTTCTGTTGGAAAATGGAATCTGGTGTGAAATCTGTGAATTTTTGCTTCAAACAGAACTTCGGCTCTTCCTCTTTTTGACCAACATAATGCCCACTTGGGATGGAAATCTCAATTAAGCTCTCCTCATCGGTGATCGAGCCGTCCGAGCAATCCGGGCTGTGATCCATGTCTTCCTTGAAGAGCCACTCGGCTTCTGAATCTTCACTCGTGGAGAAGTTATTGATGCATTCACTCTCTGAACTTGTATCCAGTGATGATCTAACCGTGCACCCTTCAGGCTGAAACATATTTGCTTGTGCTTGGGCTTCTCTCATCTGGGGCACTGACTCAATTCGTGGCTGGGTAAGCAATGCTCCATCCTCTTTATTAGGCAAAGTTTCTTGATCAGATCTGAAAATCTCCTCCTCGAAAGGTTCCGCCATGAAGACTGGCTTTCGCCTCGATAATGCGAAGAGCACACTTGACGAGAGTAAAGCTATAGATGTGAAGAGGATTGATGCTAAACCAAACTCCAGTAGATGACCCAAAATCAGCCATGTAATCAGAACCGAAATCCACGGTAGTAAGTCACATATAAGTGAAGACATTTGATTTCCAGTATCAGTTTCCAGGATCATTGACTTTTGGGGAAAAAAAAGAGGGGGATAATATTGATGCTGTTCTCTGAATGATGGACAAAGTGAAAAGATAGGCTTCCACTTTGTAGGGATAAAAAAAGCACCAGATATGACCAGATGGGAGAGGGAATGCAGCTCAAACAGTGCTTTATGTGGGAAAGTTGAGGAACAGAAAAGAAACAGAAGGTACCTTCAGCTGCAATTAACAATCAAGCCAACCAAGGAGACAGAAAAAAGGCTGGAGAACGCTAGATGAAGTGCAATAGAATGGGAAACAAACACAGCAACACTGGGCTTATAGCAACTTATCCGCAGAAAGAGGAAGAGCAACACTTCGCCTCTTTGAGCTCAAAATGTTGCTGAAAGGCTTGTGGTGGCCAAGAAAACTATAGATTTTACATGGAGTTAGAGGGGCTAGTGCTGCTGCTAAGACACCACTTCAACAAGTACGTGGAAAAACAACATCTCCATATGAACATAACCTAGCAACCAGCTTTGAAATTTGGGGAACAAGCGTATGCCCTGAATTGGGTTTTGCAGAACAAGAAGCAAGTTGCGAAAGTTGAAAGGAAAGGACTAATATATTTTCTGGATCGTTTCTTTTATCACAGTCTCACATGTCACACTTCCCAATTTAAAAGAAAAAAGAAAAAAATTTAAAAGGAACTCGGTTTTTTGTTTGCCCACACCAATCAGACGGTTCTCTGCAGCAACTGATTCTCTAGGAAAACCCAAATCGCTGCCTTCCCTTGCATTAGTTTACAGTGATTAGAGCTTGGAAATAGGAGGAGCCATGTGCTCACATCTGAGCTCAACACATGGCACTTTCCTTCCAAAACACCAAGCTCAAGCTCAAGCAGAAGCAGAACAACAGTGACAGGAAAAGCCAAGGGCATTATACTAACCCCTCCCTCCTGCCACTTCTTTGCACCCGAGAAGACCCTGATATCAAAACCAATACCTGAAGCTTCACCATGCACGAGAAAAGAGAGTCACATGAGACCCGTTTGACCGTTCAGGCTTTTTTCTTTAAGCAACTTTATCTGGATAATAAACCGTCAGCCTTCTCGCTTGAACCTTCACTGATGCTTTCCTTTGATTTCCACCCAACCTTACATGCTCACTTGTCTTCAGAAAAGCAGAACCACTTTTCCTTTATTCAGCGCCAATGGGTCGGACGGAGAACCTGTGCACAAGGTGAGACTATTTGAACGTGATGGAGTTTGGACTCGCCAGACCTGCTGGAATAAAATATTCAAGAACTTTTATTAGAGAGGGATTCCAAAACTTTACATCAACCTCAAAAGATCATTATAGTCGGCGGAAAAGCAAAGAAGAGCACCCATTTACAGAAGAGAAAATCCCAACATAAACATGCCAAGCATAGGATCGTTTGACTTTGGCTCCATGCAATCAAAATTCAGATATGGGAACGATAATTCAAGTAAAAAATCTGTTTTTTTCTTTCCTTTTATAATCCGACCAACCCACTGAATTAGTCAAAGCTTTGGTCATAATTTCGAGATTAACTAGTTCGGTGCCCCTGTAAATCCTTTTATCTTTTAACCACCCCCGCAAATGCCGAGAATGCGGACTTGAAAGTTTGAAACTTTTCAAACGAGGGGGGACATTCTACGGACGCTTCTAGTCGCAAGAACACTTGATCACGTGGAATTTCCAATGGTCTGTTCACGCTCTTCACTTCCTTGTAATGATGGTTTCGATAACGCTTTGACAATTCGGGAGGAAAATCTATGGGTTCGGCACTGTGGCCATCATGGGGAGCGTCCCTACTTGCCTCAAATCGTCGCCCAAACAGTAGATTTTGCTCAAGCAGGCGAGTGTTTTTGGCTCGCAATCAAGCGAGGGACTTTCATCTTCGCGGGAGGGTACGGTCCTGCGTTTCATGTTCCATCGTCCTGATTTCTGGACCTCGTTAGACAGTACATAACATCCATGATAAAACCTCGGTGTGCGCGGCGTTTGTTAGCCGGTGAAAATAGGCTCATGTTTTCCTCCACCGCCGTCTCGAGACCATCTTTTGATCCGCAGATTATAGAGATAGGGGAGCGATGATCTTCCCTCATATAAATGAGCTGTAATATTACCTCGTGATAAGATCGGATTATTTGTTCGAAGAATTGCTAATATGTGTAATATCACGTAATGATCGATTAAGCCAATAGAATTAGTGACTAAAACAAAGTGAACTTAGTTTACTAAACTAAATTTGTACTTCGGATCATTCTATATCTTGATAATTAATCTTAATAAACCAAGCTAACAATATGCTCAAGCATCAATATTGGTTGAATTTAGATTAGGCGATATATAAAAAATAATATAAAACCAATAAAAGTGAAAAACATAATAAGCACAATTAAAAAGGAGACAATTATCATTGAAGCTAAATGTTTACTTAGCTATTAAAAAAAGAAAGGACAAAAATAGCAAAACAATGAAATAACTTAGCTTCGCATTACCTCAATCATCCGTTCCTTTCTAATTGATGGGGCTTTATTATTATTGAGTTATTTCTAAGAAATTGTTTGTTTGGCTATGAATCATTATAAGAAAAAAAAACAATTATCACCCATTACATAATTTCCAATTTGAAATGAAAAAGTTAAAAGGAATCTCGTCCATAATTTTAAAAACCCGTGCCACCGGATACTGTATATTGGAATTTTGCTGAGAAAAAAATAATATTATACTTTCTCGCTGCAAATTGAAAAGAAAAAAAAAACAACAACGCCTGATTCTAAGAAGACCACATCCACCAAATGCAAATCGTATTCCCCATCTCATCTCGGTATATAATTTCTTTCGTTGCAACATATGTCTTGAAGAGAAATTTTAGCTTAGAAATTCAAATAGTAAATGCACAAAAACATTAGTTAAAAGGGCGAGATTCAGAAAATAATAAAAAAGCATAAAAAAAACCCTTGAACAGCAACACAAACCTTTTTTTACTAATCAATTTTCATAATTCCAACTTGGATAAAATTTTATGTCAAATCAAATGTAGCAGAGGCTGATCTTTCTTAGTTCCGACTCAACGAGTTCATGATTGCAATGTACAAATCGTCCATTAGTCATCATCAAGCTATCGTCCTTATCTTAAATTATAGAAACTCCAAAGATTACTAGGAGAATTTCTTGAACTTTGAGAGCAGTTAGAATTTTTATTTTCATTTTAAATAATCAAATTTGGAATTTTCATTCTTTTTAAAATAATCAAAGCGTTGGTATTTTTTTTTTAAAAAATTCCTAAAATAATCATGATCACGAGGAGCTCTAAAATTGTATTAATTTAGTGCACGTATTTGATTAGATTATTGCGTTGAGCCTCTCACTAGCTTAAGGGTCCTACACGCAAAAGCGCAACTTAAATTGGGCTGAAAGATTGTCTTCTTAATCTTGTCATAATTGCGGTTTTAGGTGTGATGGGTTCTCGTGCAATGTATGATAATGATGACTTCAACTACTATTAATTTCCACTTAACCATAGGAATATTCCTCTCCTTTTATTTTTCAAAGAGTTTGATGGGCCTCTTTTGTAAAAAAAAAAAAGTAATAATAATCAATCATCATCATTCTCCGGATCGGTATAATAATTTTTAGTACTTTAGAGTTCCAAATTAGGAACATGACACGAGTTCAATTCTCTAAGCCATCAAATGGAGATAATCTCATATTGTATTCGGTCCACCCACCTGAATTTTGACTCGTATCTGTGAATCGATTCATGAAATTAGGGATGACAATAAAAGCGCTTGGAATATATACCCATCATGGTAGAGCTTCATGATCATGTCAATACTTTTTGCCCATTTCATTACCACAAGGACTCTCGTACATTCCAAATGAAATAATACTATTAACAACGTCCGTCCCCACCCTTTTCACTTACATAAAAAATATTATCATTAAAAAGGCGCAAACAATCTTATTTGAAAGTCATTTTAAGATTATAATGCTAATTTTTTTTTTACTTTAAAAGATATATTTCATTTTGAAAGTAATTTAAAACCAAACACCCACTAAACTCATAAAATGGGGATTCTTGTTAGATCATCTTGGCCAGTTGCACGTAGAATAAGCAGCGTCGGTCCATGCATGCATCGCGGAACCCTAATGCAAGTTGCCTCATGCTCTTCCTACAAGAAACGTGGAAACCAACGAAGACCCATATTATCATAGTTCGACTAAATAGAAATGTTTCTCGACTTTGGAGACGTTTCCTTGAGATTATGAGGATGAGATGTTGTTGATTGACTCGAAGAATACAAATTTTTTCTTTTTAATCAGGTGTGAATATCTCGAGAATAATGGTTGGGGGACCATGCCTAGTTGTTTGCTAATGTTTCATCGGAATATTAAAACTCGAATAAGATATTTGACGATAAAAGTTATGATCATTTTTTAGCTTTCCGAACTAGAGGCCTTCAAGCACTTGTTAACAAGACTCTTTGTTTGCTTGGGTATATACTCCGTGCCCCCAGTTCCACATAACAAGACCGTGCTCTACCAGCTATGTCGATTGCACATGTTCAATTTTGTCACTCATTATCTGCTCCATTGGTTTGAGTAGGGGTGAGCATGATTCTAGGGTAGAACCTAGAACATGAGAACTTGATCAGTGAGAACCTTTAGGTTCCAGGTTTCAAAGTATGCAGGGTAGGTTCTAGGTTCCAAAAATTGGAGAACCTGTTTCGACGGGTAGGTTCCAGATTCTAGGTAGGTAAAACCTAAAACCTAAACGAGTTTTTTGTATTTTTTCTTGATTTATGTCTTCACGTAAACCTGAGAACCTGATCAATGAGCATGGTTGTAGGGTAGAACCTAGAACATGAGAACTTGACCAGTGAGAACCTTTAGGTTCCAGGTTTCAAAGTATGCAGGGTAGGTTCCAGGTTCCAAAAATTGGAGAACCTGTTTCGACGGGTAGGTTCCAGATTCTAGGTAGTAAAACCTAAAACCTAAAACCTAAACGAGTTTTTTGTGTTTTTTCTTGATTTATGTCTTCACGTAAACCCGAGAACCCGACCAATGAGCATGGTTGTAGGGTAGAACCTAGAACATGAGAACTTGACGGTAGATGTAAGCAAAAGAGAACAGAACCTGGTAGATAAAACCTAAAACCTAAACGAGTTTTTGTGTTTTTTTGATTTATGTCTTTCAAGAATGGAATTTGTAGGTTCCAGTTCCAAGGTATGCGGTAGGTTCCAAGTTCCAAAAATTGGTGAACCTGTTTCAACGGGTAGGTTTTAGGTTCTAGGTAGGTAAAACCTGGAATCTAAAACCTAAACGAGTTTTTTTATGTTTTTTCTTGGTCTATGTCTTCGCGTAATATTGCGGTATTTCATGGCGTTAGATAATGAGTGTATAATCTGGAACCACTAGTCTGAGTTTTTATTATGTGACTTTTTAATGTTTCATGTTCTTCGTGTGTCTAAATATAAGTTGTGGTTGGTGGATTATAACAGCAAGTGGTGGTCATTAAAGGTGATGATTCACTGTTGTTCAATTAATAATATATGTGGAACTTAGGTAGACCCCGAAACCAACCCTCTAACTTGTGATAAGGTAAGTTCCAAGTTCCAAAAAATGAGGAACCTATTATCGTGGGTAGGTTCGAGGTGGAACCTATATGGAACATGAAACCGCTCATCCCTAGTATCAATTCACGCAATGGGTTCTCATTTTAATTGTATTTATTTGGTGAATGACAAGCTTGTTCAGTATTGTTGCGTTCATTTTCGTTTTATTTAACTAAAAATGAAATTAAAAAAAAAGAACCTGTCAGACCCTAAAACCTACCTTGGAACTTATGACAAGGTAGGTTCTAGATTCCATGTTCCAAAAAATGAGAAACCTGTACTCGAAGGTAGGTTTTAGGTTCTTCGTGGAACCTATAAGGAACCTGGAACCGCTCACCCTTATGCTTGAGACCCCGTCCATCCAAAACTTAGGAGGTCTCTTCCCACCCCCCGGTGCACTCAATAATGGCTCGTCCGTCGTGATGAGCTAATCGAGTTAGCGAAAGCTTACTTCGCACACGGGGCCGAAAAGCCCGAAACAAGCCTTTTAGTTCTCAACCGAAGGCCCAATTCACAGTAAACTTTAAGTCAGCTCCACAACTTCCATCAACTTGACTTTTCCTCATCCTTTTAGCGATCCACGATGCATTGGCAGGCTTTAGTTCAATTTCTACTTATGCTGCTCTTCTTCATTTGGTTTATCTATTTCCCCTATCCTCGTCAATTTCTCGCTCTAAGAAAGCTTTGAAAGTTCAGTCTGGCTATGGTATGAAGGCCAACATATGGTGGAACGAACCCACCCGATCTATTTACACCGACTTTACAATGAGAAATACCCAACTTGGTGACCAAAAGCTGTATGACGCTTGCCAAATTCAAGAATTTAGACGCTTGGCTATATCTATTTGTTTCGGGTCATTCGCCTTGATACAAGATATTCACAAAGACATCGTTAATCATCCACATCGGGTCAACATACTCACGAGAATTCCGATAGAAACAAGAGGAATTGCTTTTTCCATGAATGTCGAGCGAAAATTAAGAATTAGATCTCACGCTTCTCATTGCACATAGCTCTCCAATAATCTTCCTACTCAAAATGTCAAAGAAGTGATGTTGGTTCACCTTGACTAAGGCTGCGTTTGGGAATGCTTTGGGGGAATTCCGCAAGGATTTTTGAACGAATGTGTATTTGCTGAAAGCAATTAGTGTTTGGATAACTTATTTTGGTGTATAGTTTGTAAAGCCAACTTTGAAATGAAAAAAGAAAAGGAAAGAAAAACAAAGGGCAGACATGGGCGAGCATTGGCAAAGAAGAAAGGGACTGTGCGAGCTTCGATGGCGAGGACCAGAGGTGACTGTCGGCCAGGCGAGCTTCGAATGACGATCCTTGTTGGAGCAGATCTTGTCGCGGTAGAGATCGTTGACTAAAGCTGAGCGAAGCTCCAGCGAGTTGCGCTTGAGTTGTGTGACCCTCGGATTGCCTCGCTCGAAGTTGCATGACTCCAGGCGAGGCAACCCTCATGGTCGCATGGCAAGACGACGCCGTGAATCTGATCTTGCAAGACTGGGGTGATTCTAGGGTTTTTTGATATTAGGAAATTGCAACGTCAGAGCTTCACCAATGACCATCTCGTAAACCATTCGGCAAAGCTTCACTGACCATCTTGCAGGCCATCAGCACCTCCACATCTGCAACTTGGAGAAGAACACGAACAGTTTCTCACGAGGGCACAATCGGAAAATGAAAATATTAACCGGGGCAGCTTTGGAAGGAAAAAAATCATTGACACTAGGGGAGTTTGGCCTTCTAAAAATGCCCGAAAATCTAGTCATAAGCTTTCAGTTTTCCCAAATCTAGCATTTCGGGAAAGTGGATGCGAAAAAAATTTGCCAAACACTTAACTTTTTCTTTAAAGGCCCGAAACCTTTTGGAAAAGCTATTTCCAAATGCACCTTAAATGGCTCTGGAAATTATAAACTTAAACATAAATTATACGTATGTATTTATATTACAAGCCAACTAGGTGATATAATTTGACCCAAAGAGAAAATAAAAACTAGGTGATATAAACAATGATTATGGTAATGACGACAATCGTGGTTGGTTGCCGGTGAAACGCACCTTTTACTGAAATTCTAGAAGCTGTCTTCCAAGCCCTAACTTTCTCAACTCTATTGTTGCCCCCTACGGCACAAACTCAAGCTCTGTAAAAGCATTGATTCTATGTGATCTGCCAACCACAAGGATCCCACTCGGTGTTTATAAAGGCAAAAAGTTGATGGGACAAAATTATATTCTCCATATTTATGTTCCGTTGGATATGGCATATGCAACATGAATACTCCAGTCTCCATTTGAAAAAAAAAATTATGGGTTATAAGCTTTTTGATAGCATTTTTTTTACACTGCATTTAACTATGGTTAGTTAGTAAATATTCTGATTGTCCATATGATTCGTCGAACTGATAAAGATCGCTTATCGCCTAGTAAAAAACAGAAACGAGAAAAGAACAGAAAATAAAAGAATAGAATGAGAACCCTCTTTTTCGCTTTGTTTCTTCTCCCCTTTCTATTTTACACGCATCTTATCGTGCCCTTTTCGAATTCGTGTTCCTTTCGTGTTTTTTTTTTTTTCACCTCTCTTTTTCTCGTGTTTTCGCACTATCCTATTCTATCTCGAACCTTCCGGTCTCGGCTCGCGAGTGGTGGGGAGTCATCGGGATTCGATTCGAACATTCCGTGTCGGGTACGCAATCCTCACGATAACGCTCTCAGATGGTCACTACCGCTAGCCACCCCTTCCCATCCTTGCCATAAAATGGATCTCGGACCTACACTACGGATCTACACATTTCAATGGCTGAGATCATCCTTCAGCAAACGAAGAGAGAGAGAGAGAGATTTGAGGAAAGGTCTTTTCATGGACTCACAAAACATAAAAACATGGTCCGACGAGGAATGATCCTGATGCGAAATCAAAATCCCCACTCTTCTATGCGCCTTGGATGCTATGTGGTCCCATAGCCTCTATTCTCTCCTTGGAATCTACATAGCCTTCACGTTCTTGAAAAATTAAAGAAAACCAAGAATATGAAAACCAAATCTTTGGAATGGCTCTCCGATTGCAACATGCGTGGTTTCAGCGGCCAGATTTGCTTTGGATTTATAGGTACGCGCTCGTAATTAGAAACTCCTCGTGGGTCGCCGAATAGGCCATCAAAGGGTCCGAGCTTAATTAATATAACTCCTCAGCGAAGATATGTCTTCATTGAAAAGTACGTTTTTTGGGACTATGCAGCGCGAGCTTTACGATTTATACATCGAAAATCATTTTCGATTATTCGCTTTTCTCATAATAAATAAAAAAGGGGAGAAGAAAATGCTAAGGAAAATTAAAAGAGAAAGAAAACAAAAAAGAATCCCAACAGATTACGCTATGCTCGTATTACATCTCGTCATCTCCCGTTTCCAAAGAACCCAACACGAAGTCCATGAATGCGCGGTTGGTGTTTTGCCTTCTGCCATAACGTCTGCGGCACTTCTCCAGTTTATTTACGCGCGAGAAGGTTTTGCGGGATTTTCGAAGTTCTCGCAGATATTTATGACGTGAGCACGACGGTTCGAAAGGGAGGCCGATAAGGGCCATGCGCCTTCAATGAAAAATCTTCATCCGTAGAAAATTCAGTTAGTAATAACTCCATGGAGAAAGTGGCAGAGCAAGTCAATTTGATGATTCAACGAAGCGAAACGTTGTTGGGTTTTCGACATTTTACGTTCGTGTTTACGGCCAGACATTAGTTGATACCCTCCGAAGCGTTAACGAGGATCTATGCATTTCCCCCTTTCTCGATCGACTCCAATTTGGGTACGGTTTTGTTTGCTGCTAGCGTGACGCTCCAAAAAGAAAAAACCAGAAATGGCAACTTCAAAATTGACATATATAAAGCATTCGGGGATTCTCTTTGATGACACCATGTGTCTCTCTGGTTTCAAGATTCAGGTCAGTGAGATGGGCGAAGAGTGATTCAGCAGGAAACATCAATTCCTGCACTGTCAACCATTAGTTGCCCCCCTTTCCAACGGGCTGATTCCAAAAAAAACAGCACAAACTTTAGGTCGAGTGATAATTATGGCCCTAACTTTTTTTGTCTCATAAAAAGTCATCAACTTTCACCTTTATTCCAAATCTGATCTCCCGTCGACTCTCACTCTGAAGTCATCCTTATTTGAGAAAAAAAGTTATGATCGTGAGCTTGGCGGATCTTTTTTATGGCATTTGTCGACGGGCGATGGTCTACAACTTCAGATTACGACAAAACGATAAAGTCTGGCTAGAAAGATTCAATCTGGAGATCTTTTTAACTTATCGGTGAAGTAAAATAGACGAACAGTTTCGCTGTTATTCTTCAAGCTGCGGCTCAGAGAAGAAGATAATGAATAGCGCTTTAAATCCACTCAACAAGCCGCATGGATTTATTGCTGAGGTGGAATAGTCAAATTAGATAATCAATAATCAAAAATTAAATGAAAACTGGTGATATTTTACGAATCAAAAAAGTTTGAATCAGAATTGTCACTCGACCTAAAGTTATCTTCTTTGTTTTTGGAATTAGAGCTGTTTCCAACCCCGAGAGTTCCCCGAATTAGCTCGGCCAAAGCGAACTCGGGATGCCCAGAACGAAAGCCAAGACAGGGTCACTGTCTTCCTGTTCTTGTTCTTGTTCTTGTTCTTTGTTGGTATGCCGGAAGAGTCTGAAGCGCGGTCGATTTTCTTGATTACCGGGGGTCAAGAAACCGCAAGAATTCAGGTCGGCTTTCACGTGTGGGTGCTGCGTGCTGATCCATGCCCTGCAAAGACAAGATGGTGCAAGTCAGAACCCATATCCTCCCCAATTAATATATTCTTTTCCGAGTTATCAGTTTGATTGGTGTTCTTCTATTTTAGCGCAGCGTTTTTGTCCTGTCATCCTGTTTTGGCGCACGGTCAATTTGTTCGTGTATTTGGAGTTGGCTCGTTGTCTGAAGGCAAAATTTGATGAATTTAAAGGGTGGGCACCGAGTGACTAAATTCAGTGGATCTTGGAGCATCGGCCATTCAGCTTTCTTGGGTTAACATGGTCAGTAGGGCTTTGTGAGGGCAGTTTCAAGAAGAGCCAAAGGATTCCATTCTCACTCGGCCTTTATCCCCTCATTTGTGGCGTTTCTTACTTCTTCTTCTTCTTTTTTACTTTGGATTGGGAATCTAATGATTAGAACCGTCTGTGATATCTGTAGCTTTTTTCTCTCTTCCTTTCCCATTGCTTGATGGGTTTAGTAAGAGAAAGTCGGGTTGCCTTGATGATAGTGGGATTCACTCTTTCGACTTTAAGATCGATTCCTGGGTCCGATGGAGCCAGTTGGCGATAAAGGTTTGCTTATACGCTGTTGATTCTAGCTTTTCATTTCGGTTTCTGGCGGAATTTTCTCTTTCTCTGTTTATTCTATATCCGGAACATGCGGTTTGAGGACATGTTGGCGGGGTTTAGCGTGGTGGTTTTGCTAGTATCTTGAGTGAATTGATCGCGAGTATAGAAGGAAGATAGTGGGAGGAACAGGGGGAGTTAGAAATGTCGTCCAAATCCACGAACAAGACCAACTGCTCTCCAAGCAGCTCGGCTCGATCGAGGCGTGGGGCTCGTGCCGTTGCTCAGACCCCCATTGACGCGAAGCTTCATGTCGACTTTGAAGAATCCGAACGGTTGTTTGATTACTCCACTTCGGTTGACTTCAACATCTCGAGCTCCACTGGAAACGTCCGTTCATCGACCATCTCGGCGTATCTTCAGAAAATGCAGAGGGGGCAGCTGATCCAACCCTTTGGTTGCATGATCGCTGTGGAGGAACAAAATCTCACCGTTCTCGCCTACAGCGAAAATGCCCCGGAAATGTTGGACTTGGCCCCACATGCGGTGCCAAACATTGAGCAGCAAGAAGCCCTTACTTTCGGCTTGGATGTCCGAACTCTATTTCGGTCCTCGGGTGCGGCTGCCTTGCAGAAAGCCGCAAATTTTGGGGAAGTTAATCTTCTCAATCCCATATTAGTACACTGTAGAACTTCGGGCAAGCCCTTTTATGCAATTCTTCACCGAATTGATGTGGGCTTAGTCATAGATTTAGAGCCGGTGAATCCAGCTGATGTTCCTGTGACTGCTGCTGGAGCCTTAAAGTCTTATAAGCTTGCAGCGAAAGCCATCTCCAGATTGCAATCTTTGCCGAGCGGTAATATATCTTTGTTATGTGACGTACTCGTTAAGGAAGTCAGTGAATTGACTGGTTATGATCGTGTCATGGTGTATAAATTTCATGAGGATGAGCATGGGGAAGTTATTGCCGAGTGTCGTCGGCCCGATCTAGAACCTTACCTTGGGTTGCATTATCCAGCTACTGATATTCCACAGGCATCAAGGTTCCTCTTCATGAAGAATAAGGTCAGGATGATATGTGACTGTTCGGCTTCACCAGTTAAAGTAATCCAAGACAAGCGATTGGCTCAGCCACTAAGTCTTTCCGGTTCCTCTTTGAGATCTCCTCACGGGTGTCATGCTCAGTACATGGCAAACATGGGTTCAGTTGCTTCTCTTGTTATGTCTGTTACCATTAATGAGGATGATGAGGACATGGAAAGCAACCAACAGAAAGGGAGAAAGTTATGGGGTTTAGTAGTTTGCCATCACACAATTCCCAGGTTCGTTCCATTCCCTTTGAGGTACGCTTGTGAATTCTTGATTCAAGTTTTCGGTGTACAAATAAACAAGGAAGTTGAGTTGGCAGCTCAGTCGAGGGAGAAGCATATCTTGAGAACGCAGACTGTTCTGTGTGACATGCTCCTTAGAGGTGCTCCTCTAGGTATTGTCACTCAATCGCCAAATGTTATGGATCTCGTGAAGTGTGATGGGGCTGCTCTCTACTACCAGCAGAAATTTTGGCTGCTCGGGGTCACTCCTACAGAGGCACAGATTAAAGAACTAACAGATTGGCTTCTCAAATATCATAGTGGGAGTACTGGCTTAAGTACCGATAGCCTTATGGAAGCTGGTTATCCTGGAGCTTCGGTCCTCGGTGAGACAGTTTGTGGGATGGCGGCCATTAAGATTACTTCAAAGGACTTCCTTTTTTGGTTCCGCTCCCACACTGCAAAAGAGATCAAATGGGGTGGCGCGAAACATGATCCTGGTGACAGAGATGATGGTAGACTCATGCACCCCAGGTCGTCGTTCAATGCATTTTTGGAGGTTGTTAAGCGCAGGAGCGTACCGTGGGAGGATGTCGAAATGGATGCTATCCATTCCCTGCAGCTGATATTGAGGGAATCTTTGCACGATGAAATGATTGAAGATTCCAAGGTTCTTGTAAATGTTCCTTCAGCTGAGAACAGGACCATCGATGATGATGGGATACAAAAGGTGGACGAGCTGCGTTTTGTCACAAATGAGATGGTACGCCTCATTGAGACTGCTGCTGTCCCTATCCTGGCTGTTGATGCATCTGGTAATGTCAATGGGTGGAACAACAAGGTCGCTGATATCACAGGTTTTTCGGTCCAGCATGCAATCAACATGCCTTTAGTTGATCTAGTTGCAGATGACTCGGTAGATGGAGTGCGGAAGATGCTCTCGTCGGCCTTGCAGGGTAATGTTCTGCCGTTCCATCTGTTTAGCTTCTCAAGAGCTTATCAGCAAGCTGAATCCAAAATCAATAGATACAAGTGCAATTTCAATCCGTGGTTTTGACCATTTGTGGTACTTAAACTAATTGACTTGAGCACAGTCCAAAGTTGAAGACTTGTGTGCTCGCTGCAGAGTGAAAGAAATAAGCAGCATATTGCTATCTAATGATGTGCACATTAGCCCAAAAACATTCTTCAGTTGTTCATTATATAATTTACTTGAATAACAGCCATATCTTTTATGATGAACACATTTAGCTTACTAAATTGGTGTGATCGTTTCAACTCTTTCTTTCACTCTTGGTTAAGTAAATTCGCTCAGTTAATTAAGCAAATTCGCTGACGTTCTTAGTATTAGTTCCATACTTAGCAATTGTTCTACTGTCTGATAAATTGCCATTTGTCAGGGATAGACAGCTATAATAATGATCTATACAATATGATGGTAGATATCTGATATATGTATTTTTCTGTAAGTACATATTAATATGCTGATATTAATAATCTTAACCCTTTGGAATCTTGACATAACTGTCTTATTGTTCTTGTCTGGCTTTCACTCTTCCTGTCCTGCATATCCTCTGATTGGTTTAGGACTAATGCGTGGCAGGTGTCGAAGAGCAGAATGTTGAAATCAAGCTTAAAAAGAACAGCTTTCAAGATGACAAAAGTCCTGTGGTATTGGTAGTTAATGCATGCTGTAGCCGTGATGCAAAGGAAAACGTTGTGGGAATATGCTTCGTTGGACAGGACATTACTGGACAAAAGATGATTATGGACAAATATACCCGCATCCAAGGTGATTATGTTGGAATTGTGCGGAATCCATCTGCACTTATTCCTCCAATTTTTTTGACCGATGAGTATGGACGGTGCTTGGAATGGAACGATGCAATGCAAAGACTCTCCGGTTTGAAGAGGGAAGAAGTCATTGACAGAATGCTACTGGGCGAGGTTTTCACAGTTTCCAATTTTGGTTGCCGTCTAAAAGATCACGACACTTTAACCAAACTCAGGATCTTGTTGAATGGTGTAATTGCAGGACAGGATGGGGATAAACTTCTGTTTGGGTTCTTTGATCAACATGGTAGGTATATCGAGGCATTAATTTCTGCAAACAAAAGAACAGACACCGAGGGAAAGATCACTGGGGTGTTGTGCTTTCTGCACATTGCCAGTCCAGAACTTCAGTATGCCATGCAGGTTCAGAGGATGTCAGAGCAAGCTGCCGCTGATAGCCTTAAGAAATTGGCTTATATCCGCCAAGAGATCAGAAAACCACTCAATGGGATAATATGCGTGCAAAATCTGATGGGGGCCTCTGATTTAAGCAATGAGCAGAGTGAACTTTTGAAGACGAGTACTTTGTGTCGGGAGCAATTAGAGAAGATTGTTAACGACACTGACATTCAAAGCATAGAAGACTGGTATGTTGTCCCAACTTGATGGTATACCTGTAAATACTTATTCATGGAGGATGTGAAATTGGTTTTCATCTTCACTCTCTTCTTCTTCTTTGGGAGACCGAGTGTCTTATTTCTTATGAAAAATTTCTGATTAAGTTGTTTTTCATGGAACATCTTATCGGCACCTGTCTAAATCGTGGTGAAACTTCTTATAGGGAACTGGTCTATTTGTCTATTTTTTTGTTCTTAGATTCTTCTTGGCTTGGCCCCCCATGAGAGTTTACTTTATATGATTTCCTTAACTTTGAACTTTATTAATGAACTATTCCTTGTTTGTCAATTATGGTGTCAATACGACAGTTACGGGGAACTGAACATGGGCGAGTTCAACCTTGAGCAAACGCTACGAGTTGTCATAAATCAAGCAATGATTCTAAGCCAGGAACGTGCGGTACAGGTCGTTCTTGATTTGCCTGTTGAAGTGTCGACCGTGCATTTATATGGTGATAAGTTGAGATTGCAGCAAGTTCTTTCCAATTTTCTGACTAATGTGATCCTTTTCACCCCCAACAATGAAGCATCATCTGTTATGCTGAGGGCAATTCCAAGAAAGGAGCGGATAGGGATGAAGATGCACATTGTCCACCTTGAATTTCGGTAATTCGCACATTGTTAATAAGATCTCAATATTACTATCTTTCCCTGTATATTTGCGCCCTTATATGCGTACAGAGTTCAGAAGATAGAAAATTAAAACACTAGCGCTGGAATGTCACATTAGCTTTATTGAGCAGAATAATGGGTCTTCTAAATATAATTAAGTTTGTGACTGATGTACCTCCCTAGATGATTAATAGCTTTCATCATATTATTGCATGAATATGTGTAAGTTCCAAAACGAGAAGATAAGTTAGTTGAATTGTTCTATGTACTTTCTCTCCTTAGGTTTACACATTGATGAGCATTTATTTGATGCTACATTGGTTTCTCTGGCGGCATAAATATCAATGTCGCTGCTGCCTTCTGAAAAGAAAAGTAAGGAAATCATCACCGTTAACTCACTCATCATCTTCATTGCACGGAATTTACAGTAATGATGAGGTAGCCTGTCATTGCACTTCTAAGTCTAGTAGGTGCGGGTCATTGACCTTTTAGTAACTTGACCATTGCTCCAACATATTTATAGTCGCCTTTATGCTGATAGATGCCTGAAGACTTTCATCTTGTAGTTGCCAAAAGCTTCTAAAGAGCTAAATGAAACAAGAGTGCTGGTATTTTGAAAACCGAATGGTCATAAAACATCAAAATGATTCTTAATAATATTCTAGAAATGGTCATAGGTGGTATGGTTGTACAACATCTGATCCCCGTTAGATGAAAATGCTTGATTTCGTTTGTTTTGGTGGTCAAGTGCAAGCTACAAATTCAGCACATTGAACTGTGATTTCAGGATTACACATCCAGCACCTGGAATTCCAGAGAAATTGATTCACGAGATGTTTCACCACGGCCAAGGCGTGTCGAGGGAAGGCCTTGGATTGTACATCAGCCAGAAGCTCATAAAGATAATGAACGGAAGTGTGCAGTATCTTAGGGAGGCAGAGAGGTCGTCCTTCATTATACTCGTAGAATTTCCACTCGTTGATCACTCCGGTCAATGAAGTTTCTTTCAGAAGGCTGTTTAAGAAGACGAGCTCCTGTAGCCCCTCTCTTCCACAAGAATGGGTTCAGGCTCACAACATCTCATGAGTGCTTTTCTCGGTGTATGTGCATGCGGAATTTCGAGTGACGGGTTGCAACAATAAACACGGTCCTCAATTTTTAAAGCAGAGTCAATTTTCAAACCAGAAGTGGGGAAGAATTTTTGTATGGGTGGCTCTTATCCGTCAAGTCAACAGTAGAAAAGTTTCTAATGACCTGGGAATCCCTCCAAGTCGTCTGTGGATTGGCGTTTCGCCATGCTGTGTTCGCTCAGTGAAAATTCGGTGTGTGGAACTGTATTGGGTTCAATTAGCTGATGGTGCAGAGCTTGTCGTGTGGGATAATAGAGTTCAAGGCAGCTGATAACCAGTTCAGTTGGGAAGAAAAGGGAATAAAGGTAAGCGAGCCAAGCTTCTTTGTATATATTGCTGAGGACTGAAAAAGCAAAAAATGATCTCTGGCTGTGTATACCTCTTGGTTGAAATAACAGGCCGCTTTGAAGGCGATCTTTTCGCAACAATCGCATTTACTTGTTCATACCGCACATCTTTCTATGTATGCTCCACACTCGTTGCGAAATTCTTTGTCGAGCATACTTACTAATTATTTTGCAATGGGAAGAGGGAAACTCCTCTTGAAAGGAACCTTGCCATTCATACATGTAGCTTCATGATATATTTGAGCTTTCGTACATGTTTCTCTTGGGCAATCCGGGTGCATGTGCACCTAGTTCAATCAATACGTGTTGAAATACACATGTGAGTTGTGTTAAAAAAAATCCTGATAACTCATTGGCTTAATTTTTTAGAAAAGATGGGTCTAACTAAATATATTGACATGCTTGGATTTGAGATACCTCTCGGAGTTGAGTGTGTTATGGTTAATGTATTCTAGTTAAGCTTTTGAGTGAAGATGAGTTGATATGTTGACGGGCTCGGACTTAAAGTCTCTTTTGGTGATCTCCTAGGTGAAGGTATCGGGTTTCTATTACCCGCTCTCAACAGTCCGATGGATCTAGTGGGCCTAACGTGGGAGTCACGTGAGTTGACAATTAGCATGCATAGGTTTTTACCAATTGGCTACTTTTATACACTTCTATTTTGTTAGCTGAAGATGCCGGTGTTTCCCGCTTTACACTCCACTGTAAGAGACTAGGAAATTGATGATCAGTCGATCTCTTCAAGGAAAATCATCCATTTCTAGAGAAGCATTCTCTAGTATCCATTGTATGCCAACATATGTATGGAAAAATACTGGATATAGAATTAAGCATTCACCTTTTTATTTAAATTTTTTTAATTATCCTTGTCCCGAGTTAAGGGAGAACAATGCTTAAACTCAGATGTTCCGAGCTTACAGTATAGTCGCTCATAGAAAGTATCGTACTCAATAGGTTTATTTCGAGCTTTGTATGTTATTGTATGTACCTATTGGGCGTTCGATGGAGATATTGTTTCCTGACACAGGTTGTGTCTTCATTATATGCATCAAAGCAAATTTCGCACCAACACCATATCGAATATTCAGACACTACGCGTCTCAATTGGTCACTGATTGTGAATGATTAGCACGGTTTGGTGTATATCCATGATACATATTACCTAGCCTATAGGCTTGATGTGTAACGTCCGAATCGATCCGGCGGACGCAAAGTTATTGGTTCGGTTAGGGTCGTGATTTCATTGACTTGGCTCGGGTCATATTTGAGTTTTTCTTCTAGAGCAGTTTGGCTGTCTTTCAAATCGAGCCAAATTGAACCACGATTGCAATAAATTTAGGACTTTTTTTATAATTTTCGCTCGAAAGGCATATTTGATTATATTCTTTATGATATCTCTTCCTAGAAAAAAAGGGCCGGTTGAGATATAAACATACACACTATGTATGGCCAAGCAAGTTGACCGAGACTCTACAAGGAGATGATGAACACAAGATGATCTCACAACAATTCAAAGGCCGGACACTTTCAAAAACAGCTTCATTAGAATAAGATCTGTTGCAAACATATACAATAAACCAGTAGTGCGATATTAGCTTCTTCTGATCACTCGTATATTCAACTCTTCTTCTTCCCTCAATCCCAAATACAGAAGCTCACGCCGCCCCCAAGCACCTGTCTCCAATACAGACCTACCCCGATGCGGTTCAATCGGCATCCGTTGCCACTGCCACCACGGTGGCGTAGTTGCTAGGCAAAGGGAGAGAGCACAGAAGAAATGCGATTCGGGTCTGCTATGCGTGAGGGAAATTACCACAAAACGGGAGGATATTTTGTCTGATTTATTTAGTTGCTTGCATGTGAAATAGTGGGCACAGTATGAAAGATGAAGATTAAGAAAATTGCTTTTTTTCTTTCCTTTTTTTGGACAATAACATGGCTTTGATGTAGAAAGTCTTTACATTGGTTAACGCTCAAAAGCACCCGTTTAATATTTAAAAAGATGCTGGACGGCGTGTTGAATTCACAGCGTATAGAGAGAATGAATTGTGTCTCGTGTGAAAGAACGAGGAAACAATCTGGAAAGAATCTAGTTTTTCGACTTCGTGATCAACCCATATAGGCCGTAGCATGGGATGTGAACCACTGCCATGGCAAGGTAGCTGTTGGATAAACGAACCGGTTAAGATTGAGTATATCCTTTGAATGCAATAGGCGGATTCAAGAAAGACAACATATCAGACAACAGACCAAGGTGATGATACCTCGAGGACTGCCACTTGCAAATAATAGTTGGATTAGAACAGCCGAAGGCAAAGACTAGCTTACCGCGAGAAACTGCATAGCTAGAATGACCCACTGCCAGATGAGACAGATTGCACTCCAGAGGACAAAGTATGCGAGCCGGAACCAAGGAAATGGCTGAAAACATTGGATTAAACGGGCAATGTTAATAAAATTAGTCCTCTCGTGTTTAGTTGAACCTGTAGGCTCTAAGTGAAAGGATGCTTACGAGGCTGCTGAGTGAGGTATCAATCAGAAGGAAAAACGTACTCAATGTATGCATGCAATCTGCAAGTTTACTACAGAGGTCTGATTCATCTGCAGGACCGACAAGAGTCGTGAATTGTAAAACCTAAATCAAAATGGTTTCGTTAATTTGTGTTTTCGGATCTTTTACTTTTCTTAGATCTGATCTTCAAATGCCAAGTTCCAATGATATCAGATATGATCCTGTTATTACAAGCCATAGTGGCTTTAATATGGAGGACATAAAGTGTGGAAGATGAAAGCCCTTGGATAGGGGTCTTGTTTCAAATTCTGACAAACAGAAAGAGAGGTAGATAATGTACAAATTCACCAAATATAGTCCAAGACGAGCATTTGATAGGAATGGTCCGATTAAGCGAGCCAAGCTTCTTTGTATAATCTGCGGAATGAATAAACGAAAAACAATGGCTGATTGTGTCAGTCTTGGTTAAAATAACGAGCCGCTCAAGAGGCCTGTAACGATCAACATAAAGACGAATGAGCCGACTTGATTTTTTGGCATTACAACCATACGTGTGCGGCCTTTTTCGCAATGTGCACCTAGTTCACCCAATCCATTGGATCTCGTGGGCTCGGCATGGGACTTACATGAGCTAACGGTGAGCATGCATCCGATTCAACAAAGATTGGCTCTTCTATTACACTTCTATTTGTTAGCCGAAGATGCGGATTTCACAGTTAAGAGACTAAAAATTGATGAGGAGTCGATCATTTGGAGGATAATCATCCAGTTCTGGAGGTAGTGGTGTTTTTTCCTTCTTCAATTCTAAAATACACTTGTGACTACATCGTAAGATTACCGATCTTGCCGTTCATCAGGAGACCGTTGTATTTTGGACTAAGGGAAGCATTCTCCAATATCCATTCTATGCCGGCACTGGTATGGAATATACTGGATATAGAGTTAAGCATTCGCTTTTTTTAAAATCTTATTCTTTGTCCTTTTCCCGAGTTAAAGGAGAACGATCCTTGAACTCAGCTGTTCTGAGCTTACAGGTATGGTCCCAGAAAGAAAGTATCATTCAATTTCGTTATTAAAGGGTGTTGTAACTTTCAGAATTACATTCTCGGCGGAAGCATCATATTTGACGAGTTTATTTCGAGCTTTGCACTTGTGTGTACGTACATGATGTATGTTTGACCGACATATTATTTCCAGACAGAGGTTGTGTCTCGATTTTACGCATCAAAGCAAATACCGAATCGACGCCACGTCAGATATCCAAACACTGCACGTCCCACCTTGCCACGGATTGTTAATGATTAGTTCAGTTTGGTGTATATCTGCAACACACGTTACCTTTGCGATGGTTAATATGCAGGTCGAACTTCTTGTTTACGTACAGGCTTGACGTAAACCGGTTTGAAACCAGAACGGAGGATGTCGGAGTTATTGGTTTGGTTAGGGTTGTGATTTCATTGACTTGGCTTAGGTCGGATTTTAGTTTTTCTTGTAGACCAGTATGGATTTCCCCTACTCTCATGCAGAGTTATGAAGAAGCCAAGCACTAACTAGAAAGAAGAACTCAAACTATCACGACAAAAGCTATATCCAATTATACTCTATATAATATCTTTTCCAAGAAGCCACATCATTTGTTCAATTTTTCTTTTTGGGGGGCCATTGACTACAGAATGAACAGAAGGTAAGTTGATAAAGAGAAACGGGCGGTGGAGAACAGACATGCACACTGCATATGGCAAAGCAAGTTCAACGAGACACTTGAAGGAAAATCCGATAGGTTGGACACTTTCGAAGGCTGGACACAGTCACAGGCAGCTTCATTAGAATAAGATCTGTTGCCCCCGCTCTTCTTCCAAACATAACACGACACACACTGACATATATATAAACAGTCGAGCAATATCGACTCCTCTCACCACCTTTCCATCTTCATCCCTCTCTCTTCTTCGTCTGACAGTCATAACATAAGTTGATCACTCATACATTCTACTCTTTTTAAGCTCTTTCAAATATATTATTGGACAAAAACGATGACAGGCTCAATGGGCCGCGGAAGCTCTGGTGCTCCGGCATTAGTCTCTTGCGCGATCATAATGTTCCTCTCCACGTCTGCGATGGCTTCTCTTCCATCTAAGTCTTCGGCTTTGAAAGTGGGGTTCTACAAATCGACGTGTCCACAAGCGGAGGTGATTGTGAGGAATGCTGTGAATAAGGCTGTCTCTCGCAACCCCGGCATCGGTGCCGGTCTCATTAGGTTGCTGTTCCATGATTGTTTTGTCAGGGTAATGTCATAGATAATCCCTCAATGTCAAACCAATTACGTACACACCTGCGCAAGGAAAGATACTGCTTAGACTCAGTTCTATCCACAAGCGTCACGTTATTGTAGATTGTTAAATGGTAACCGAGTTAAACTGTGATTGCAGGGCTGTGATGCTTCTGTGCTCTTAAATTCCAGCCCCGGAAATAAGGCGGAACGAGAACATTTTGCAAGCCATACCTTACGAGGATTTGAGGTAATTGATGAAGCGAAAGCCCGATTGGAAGCCTCATGCCCCAAGACGGTATCATGTGCGGACATCCTCGCCTTTGCTGCTCGCGACAGCGCATACCAGCTAGGAGGAATTAGCTACGCGGTTCCTGCCGGCCGCCGCGACGGCCTTGTCTCACTCCAAGACGACATCTTACAGAACCTGCCGCCCCCTTTCTTCAACGCGAAGCAGTTGGTGGACCTTTTCGCTAGCAAAGGGCTGTCTGTGGACGAGATGGTGACGCTCTCCGGAGCACACTCGATTGGCGTCTCGCATTGCTCCGTCTTCTCGGAGCGCCTCTACGCTGTTGACAACGTAACCGATGCCCATGATCCGCCGTTGGATGCCAAGTACAGGGCTTTCCTCCGTACCATTTGCCCGAGGCCACAGAGCGGAAACACAGCCAGCGATCCGCTGGTGGCATTGGACTCGACGCCAACCCGTTTGGACAACAAGTATTATCAGGATCTGCAGAATCACCGTGGGATATTGATTTCGGACCAAACCTTGTTCTCAAGCTCTGCAACGGCCGACATGGTCACTGACAATGCTCGCGACAATAAAGCCTGGAGTCTCAAGTTCGCAAAGGCCATGGTGCGCATGGGCTCCATTGAGGTCCTCACAGGCTCACAAGGTGAGGTCAGAAGACGGTGCAGCTCTGTGAATTAAAGCTGCATTTGCGCACATGAAGTTCTTTCATGTAGAATGTTTCATATCAATTTGTTCAGTTTCTGATTCCAAGTGAGTTCATTCTTTAGTATTGTGAGATTTGCTGATATTAAGGTCATATAAAATTTGTTGCTATTTATGTTTGGGAGTTTTGCTTCTCTCAAATTTCGGAGGCAAAATTCCCATAGAAGGACACATGACTCATGAGCATACTAGGGATCGTTTCTCTTCTTTTTTTCTTTTTCCTTTTCCTTTTTCATCTTCTTCCCTCAACCCCAACTACAGAAGCTCAGCGCCGCGCCAACCACCTGTCTCCAACATAAATCCTTGCCAACGCGGTCCGTTGCCACTGCCGCCACCATGGTGTAGTTGGTGAGCAAAGGTGGAGAACACAGAAAAAATGAGATTGGGGGAGGTACGGTGAGAAGCATATCATTTAAATGACAGACGGATTCGAGAAAGACAACATAACAGACGGCAGACCGACAAGATGATACCTTCAGGATTGTATAGGCCACCTGCAAATATCGATAGTTACATTAGCTGCAAAATAAGAAGTGATTCGATAGCAAAAACAACAGCCGGAGACAGAGACTAACTTACCATGAAAAACCGCATGCGTGAACGACCCAATGAAAGATAGCTTAGATTGAACTCCAGAGGACAAAGTATGCAAGCCGGGATGAAAGAAATGGCTGAAAACAGTGGATTAAACGGTAATGTTAATACAATACGTTCACTCGTGTTTAGTGGAATCGGTAGGCTCTGAGTGAAGGAATGCTTACGAGGCTGTTGAGTGAAGTATCAATCAGAAGGAAAAGTGCATTCAATGTACGCATGCAACCCATTAAACTGTACTATCAAGCATCGAACATCTCAATGGAGAGTACACAATATGAATCGATTACGGTTAGAGCACTGATGCCACGGAGCATCTTGAACAAGATAGGTTTATGTGGGATATAAGGAAACATGCAAGTTTACTACGGGGAAGTCTGATATTGTCCGCAGGACCGACAAAAGTCATGAATTGTAAAAACCTAAACCAGAATGGTTTCGTTAAATTGTGTTTTCGGATCTCTTACTTTTCTTGAACCTGCTCTTCAAATGCCAAATTCCAATGCTATCAAATCAGATATGGTAGTGGCTTTAACATAGAGGACACAAAAATGTGGAAGATGAAAGCCCTCGGATAGGAGTCTAGTTTCAAATTCTGGCAAACAGAAACAGAGGCAGATAATGTACAGCACTCACCAAATTCAGTCCAAGACGAGCATTTGATAGGAATGTTACGATTATGCACCAGAGCACGACACTTTTCAGATAAACATGTTCCTTGATTCGTAAAGCAGTCACTTTTCAGAACCCGAAGCCGGGGAGGATTTTGATTTGGGTGGCTCCTTCCCGTCAAGTCAACATTGGAAAAGTTTCCAGTGACTTGGGTATCCCTCCAAACCGCCTTCGGGTTGGCATTTGCCCATGCTGTGTTCGCTCAGTGAGAATGCGGATATCTCCAAGTGTATTGGGTTCGATGGACGAGCAGATGGTGCAGGGCTCGTCGAGCAGTGTGATAGCCTAGAAAGGTCGAGCAATGGCAGCCGATGACCGGTTCGGTCAGGGGGAAAGGGAATGCGAGCCAAGCTTCTTCATATACATTTCTGAGGAATTAATAAACAGAAAATGATTGTTGGCTGGGTATCCCACCTTGGTTGAAATAACGGGCCGCTCTGAAGGCCACCTTTTTGGCAACAATTGCATGTACTTCTTCACACCGCACGTCTTTCTCTGCATGCTGACGGACTAATTACACTGCAATGGAACAAGGGAAACTCCTTTTGGAAGGAACCTTGCCATTTAGACATATAGCTTCACGATGGATATGGGCTTTCGTACGTGTTTCTGTTGGGCGGTCCGGGTGCTTGTGCACCTAATTCACCCTATTTGTCGGATCTTGTGGTCCCGACGTAAGACCCACATGAGCTAATGCTTAACAGCCATCTGGTTCACTCAAAAATGACTCCTTTATCCGAGAATGTCAGTGTTTCCCACTTGTGACAGCGCAAACCGGCTAGGAGGAATTAACTATGCGGTCCCGCCGGCCGCCTCGACGGCCTCGTCCTGCGCCAAGACACGTCTTACAGAACCAGCCGCCCTTTCCTTCAACACCAAGCAGCTGGTGGACCTTTTTTGCTAGCAAAGGGCTGTCCGCGGACGAGATGGTGACACTCTCGGGAGCGCACTCGATTGGCGTCCCAACTGATGCCCATGATCCGTCATCGGATGCCAAGTACAGGGCTTTCCTCCGGACCATTTGCCTAAGGCCACGGAGCGGAAACACAGGCAGCAATCCGCTGGTGGCACTGGACTTAATGCCAACCCGTTTGGACAACGAGTAGCAGAATGACCAAACCCTGTTCTCGAGCTCTGCAACGGTCAATATGGTCGCCGACAATGCTGGCGACAGCAAAGTGTGGAGTCTCAAGTTCGCGAAGGCCAGGGTGCGCGTGGGCTCCATTCAGGTCCATACAGACTCACAAGGTGAGGTGAGAAGACAGTGCAGCTCCACGAATCAAAGCTGCATTTACGTACATGATGTTCTTTTATGTAGCATTGGGGTGGTTTTGCCTTTGATTTATTGAGTTTCTGATTCTGTGTGAGTTCGTTCTTTTGTATTGTGAGATTTGCTGATATAAATGTAACATGAAATTTGCTGCTGCTTGTTTCGGGATTTTGCTTCTCTCAATTTAGAGGCAAAATTCACATAATTCTGTTCTCTTTCTTCTCTCTTTTCCTTGTCTTTTTTATTTTCCTCTTTTCCTTCTTCCTTCTTCTTCCCTCAATCCCAACTACCAGGCGCTCACCGCCGCCCTAACCACCTGTCTCCGACACAAACCCTCGCCGACGCGGTTCCATCCGTTGCCGCCGCTGCCACAGGGGTGTAGTTGGTATGCAAAGGGAGAGAGCACAGAAACAATGCGATTTGGGTCTGGTATGCGTGAGGGAATTTTCACAAAACGGGAGGATATTTTGCGAAACTGAGTAATCTAAGTCGTCAATTTACTTTAAAATGTGTCAACCATTTTGAGGAAAAAATATTCTAAGACTGAATTTACTTCCCCTAGAAGTTTTAACATGTCAATGTGCCTACCTAAACTTAGAACATCCCAGTCCATGCAATTGTGATGCCACTGGAAATTACCATACCCTAATGTAGAATTTAGAACTTAGAAGGCCTCTTTTTATCTGATCTATTTAGTTGCTTGCATGTGAAATAGTGGGTGCTTGCTTTAAAGAAGCAAAATATGAACAAAAAAAAACACCAAGAAAATGGCTTTCTTCTTCTTCTCTTTTGGACAACAAGAACATGGCTTCGGTGTAGAAAGTCTTTACATTAGTTTAACGCTCAAAAGCACCCGTTCAATCTCTAAAAAACAGTCTGACGGGGTGTTGAATTCACAGCGTTTAGAGAGAATGAATCGTGTTTCGTGTAATCTCTCCTTTTTCTATACAACAAACACACAGGCAAACGAAAATGCCCCAATACCACGTCACAAGAAGAAGAAACTAGTATGACCTTGTGAAAGAATGGGGAAACAATCTGGAAAGAATCGAGTTTTTCGACTTCATGATTAATGCACATAGGCCATAGCATGGGACGTGAATCACAGCAACGGCAAAATACCTGTTGCATAAATGACCTGGTTAGAGATTTTTTCGACTCGGAGCAGCATATCATTTTAAATGCCAAAGATTAATTCGAGAAAGACAGCATACCAGACAGCAGACCAAGGTGATGATACCTCGAGGAATGGATACGGCCACCTGCAAATGTCGATAGTTACGTTAGCTGCAACATTAGAAGTGATTCGATAGTAGAAAGAACAGCCAGAGACAAAGACTAGCTTACCATGAGAAACCGCATGCATGTATGACCCACTGAAAGATAACATAGATTGAACTCCAGAGGACAAAGTATGCAAGCCGGAACCAAGGAAATGGCTGAAAACAGTGGTTTAAATGAGCAATGTTAATTCAATCTGACCTCTCATATTTAGTTGAACCAGTAGGCTCTGAGTGAAGGAATGCTTACAAGGCTGTTGAGTGAAGCATCAATCAGAAGGAAAAACGCATTTAATGTATGCATGCAGCCCATCAACTGCAAAATCAAGCATTAAACATCTCAATGGAGAGTATACAATAATATGATTCGATTATGATTAGAGCACCAAGGCCATGGAGCATATTGAACAAGATGAATTTATGTTGCACTTCAGAGAAGTCTGATATCATCTGCAGGACCGACAAAAGTTATGAACTGTAAAACCTGAGGCAGACTGGTTTCATTGAATTGTGTTTTTGGATCATTTACTTTTCTAAAATGTGGTCTTCAAATGACAAATTCCAATGATATCAGATCAGATATGATCCGTTATTACAAGCATTAGTGGCTTTTACACAGAGCACATAAAGTGTGGAAGGTGAAAGCCCTTGGACTGGGGGTCTAATTTCAAATTCTGATGGACAGAACCTGACGTAGACAATGTACAACACTCACCAAATTTAGTCCAAGATGAGCATTTGATAGGAATGGCACGATTATGCACCAGAACACGACATCTGTGAGAATAACAGCACCTGCACTGGTCTATAACAAAACATGTATCAGTTTCTACCATGACCCACATCATAAAGAAGAGGAACATACTCGTGAAGTGCTTAACCTTAAACGAGATAGGCTGCAAGGCAACAAACCAAATTACAGGTAACAAACTCCAACTTTGTTTCTTTTGATCAGTAAACTCTGGGCACGATCAGATTAATTCAACAAGTAGATAAAGAAACTAGACTCTGGGAGGTTAAAGCCAAGGCAGATGTTACGGCTACAGGTTTATCAGATAATGAGCAAGTATACTGTATTGCATAATCAACTGTGTATGTAACAATGAAGAAGCAACTGTTTGAAGCTAATTGTCTGAACATGCTTTGAAGAACATGAATTTAAATTCAGGATGAACTAACCTGATATACAATTTGCATGACATATCCCCAAAATCCAGCTCTTTGCAAAATCTCCTCTTCCGTGTAGCGGCTTCTCAATTTACTAACCCGAGTTTCCACTACTTTTACCCCGTAATTATTAGCGGCTGAAATTCGATTTTCTTCCAAATCTCTCCCCAAAAGCTGATCCGTCAACCCATTTCCAGTGGAAGGTTGTCTTGAGTACACCCAGCATCCATAGGCAGAAACAACAGTACCCAGCTACATCAAAAGGGCTCTGCATTAGCAGGAGCTGCTTCAAACAAGCATGTCAATAGACTCAACACACATGCTAGACACCCAACGTGTTATTTTGGTTTTCTAATTCTGCGGTGGCATATTTACATGGAAGTTACTCATTAAGACTACTACATTTACTTCCAAAACAAAAACTTCTCAAGGGAAATTCTATCAAAAAGTAAGAGGAAATAAGCATTTGGAAGTTGGTGAACATACTGCAAAATAGACCATGACAAGTGTGAAAGTCCACCTGCACAATTCCAGTGGAGATTGGTGAGTGATTGCTGCTACAGTTGCATTCACTGTCTAATAAACATGAGAATTCCTAATACTTACAAGTGAAAGATGTCAAGTGCTAATAAAGTCTGCAGTTAGTTCATCACATCACAAGCAGGCTCACATCTTGCACAATTTGACACTTTTTTCAGTTGCCATCCGAGAAAATGCAAAACCCGATTGAAATGGAAATTTACTGACAGAGAAGATACTGCAAAGGAAAGCACTCTCGTACGCTAGAGAAGCTTTACATGATCAAGGTCGGTTAGGCCGTAATTAGTGAATTACTGTTTTACATTGCCCCTGTTTACTCATGCCAAAATGGCTGGATGAAGACACAAAAGAGCTGCTCTATGGGTAACAACCCCAAATTTTTAGAAGTAATATGAAGAAAGTCTGGCAGGATTATATCAGTACAGGCAAGATAAAGCAAACCAAATAGCTGGAAGGTAGTGTCAGAGGACAGATCAGAACATGACGTTGGAACGAAAGAAGAGCTGCTTCATCCCTAGACCCACAGAAGACAGAGATTTACCCAAAATTCCACAGACATATCTTGACAGATGCAAGATCAAGCAAACATATTGAGATAATCCATTCTAAGCAAAAGCCTGCCGTCAATGAAGTTATGGAATTGAAGAGCCATAAAGAGGGGTGGATATGAGACGATGAGAATCTAAAGGTGAACAAAAGAGAAAAAGTCAAATGGCAAGTAGCTAACTCCTCTTGAACTTGTACTTAGTTCCTCCTGGTCTCTTCACATTTCCGCAAGACTAACCATGAGACTGCTAGTGGATTCAAGTTGCGAAACACATAATGTGACTACTGACCAGCAAATCCCTGATCATCCGTAACAAGTAGACCCAGAAAGAAATGCTTATTTCAGCTAGCCAGAATCTCGTAGAAGGCAGTGACTCAATGGCAACCCTTTGGCCTACTGTTTTACACAATTGAAACACTAACTTCTTCGTCCAGCAACCCTTTGCCGGATCTAGAGATGCATTCATTTTCAGGCGACACTACTCTAATAGATTGGATCATATGCACAATGGTAAGTCAGAACGATCTCACTAATCAACCTTCTACTAACATGTAGCTAACCAATTCAAAGCCGATGATCAAATGCCATTCGCACAAAATCCATTTCCAATAGGTCATCACTCACAGGATCACATCCCTACATAAGTCAACAAAAAGACCAGCACAACACAACCCACCCCTCAAAAACTCCTCAGCTGCAACACTTAAATCCGAAAAAAAAAAAGAAAGAAGAAGAAACACAAACTCACTCGGTGTAATAAACAAAAATGGTGGCATCCCACTCCACAATGTCCCAAGCAAGGAAGCCTCCCATGACGGCGAGCGAGCCCAGCCGGGTCGCCAACAGCCAACCGGGATGCACCCCTCGCCAGCAACTGGCCCACAGGCAGGAAGAGTCGACGTGGCTCCGGGGCTTGGCCACCGAGTAGCGACCCTCGGTCTCGGGTCGACCCGACAGCAAGCTCTGGAAGATGGCATTGTCGTCCAATCGCGACCCGCCCTCCTTCCTCCATATCACCCACAAGGAGCCGAGGAAGGAGACGGCGACGATGCCGACGCAGACGGCGCCGTACCAGGACACCACGAGACCCATCGGCCCCTCTAATTTCTCCTTCTCCTCGGTCGGGCAAGAGGGGGAGGCGGAAGGGGGCTATCGAAGAGGACCTGGGTACGCCGCCATTGATGTGGGGGTGATGAAAGCTTCGATCTTTTTCCTTTTATTTTTTCTTCTCTTTCAATCGTTGCCTTTAGGTGGTGGCGGTGCTGGAGAGGAACGGTAGTTTTGACCGTTGGGTCGGGTGGGAGTTGAACGGGCAGGGAGGAGAAAGAAAGAGGAAGAAAGGATGGTGGTGGTGGTGGCCTGGTCATTGTGGTTGAAGGAGGAGGAGGAGGAGGAGAAGAAGGAGAAGAACGACGTGACGAAGAAATCGGCAGGTGGTGACAGAATCCTCCTGGAAATTGACGGAAAATTGGCAATGCGGCAGTTTCGGTAAAATTCCCGGAGAAAACTTGCGGGGACGAGAAAGGCCCGAGGTTTTTGTAGCGTCAATCACGTCCATACACGTGTTTCTCTCCCGTGTTCTTGTAATAGGAAAAATTGCCCAAAAAGTCCTCCGCTTCTTTCACTTTTGTCAATTCGGTACTGAACTTTTCCATTACTAATCGGCTTACGTAGCGCAGACGTCGAGAATTTTTAATGACATGTTTTTAAAATTTTTCATTTTTCTTTTATATTAATTTTTTATTTTTCTTTTTCTTTTTCTTTTCTCCCATTCTTCCTCCTCCAGCCAGTTGCCAAACGTTGGCAACAGGCTAGAAGGGAGGGCCGGTGAGGCCAATCTCGCCCAACCATGGCGAGGCGAACCTCGCTAATGATCGGTGGGGGCGAGCTTTGCCCGAGACCAGCAAGGTCGACCTCACTAGCCCTCTCCTCTGGCCGGTTTCAAAAATTGAAAAATATTAATATATTATTAAAAATCGTCAACGTTGACGCCATGTAAGCCGGCCGGCATCCACGTCAGCACTTTCGGCCAAAATTGGCAGGATGAACTCAATTTGTAAGAAATGAAAATGTTTATGACTCAATTGACAAAATTAAAAAGTTTAGAACTGAATTGGTAAACATGTAATATGTGACTTTTTGGACAATTTTTCCTCTTGTAATAAAAACCTTTTATTTTCTTCTTGGCTTGAAATACTTTTCTTGGAAAAGAGAAGATTTTTGTTAGGTCATTTATCAATTTTAGCAAAATATCAAAGGAAAACTGATAATTTCATAATTACTACTGGATGGGCGGCGATATATATGTGAAGATGGGACATCAATTATTAGATTAAAAATGGGGTTATGTGGACGACTGTCGTAACGGTACTTTGTTAATCATACTCACTTCAATAAGGAATGATACACTTCCAATGCGTCGATCATAAGAAACGTCATTGTTTCGAAGATCGTAAACTTGTCTTGTTTAATCTAGAGATAATGACAAAAACAGTCTTTGAACTTTAGCTCAATGTGTAATTTGATCCCTGAACTTTTAATTTGTTCAATGTAGTCTCCAAACTTTAGCTTAATGTTCAATATGGTCTCTGAACTTTTAATTTGTTCAATATGGTCATCGAATTTTTTGTACATGTTCAATTTAGTCCATAAACTTGAATTAATGGAAGGACTACATTGAACATTTTTATAAAGTTCAAGGACTATATTGAACATGTACCAAAAGTTCAAGGACCATATTGAACAAATTGAAAGTTTATGGACAACATTGAACATTGGATTAAAGTTCATGGACTATATTGAACAAATTAAAAGTTCATGAACCAAATTGCATATTAAGTCAAAGTTTATGAACTGTTTATGTCATTTTCTCTTTAATCTATTGAACAAGCAAGGATGCTTGTTAATAAATTCATGAAAATGAATTATTATTTTTAGCTTTTTTTGTCGAAAAAAAATGCAGCTGTGTGTGCAACCTTTTAGTTTGGTCATTAAGGGCGAGAATTATAACCATTTTGTTTCCCTATTTTTTTAATTTTTTTGTTCTCGAAAACAGGTTTGGAATATAAATCCGTTTGTTAAAATAATTTCATTTTTTTTTCTTTTTGGGACAAGTTTTGTCCCAAAAATAGATTTAAAACAGAAATGAGAAGTTAAAATTTTTTACTTTTGAATTTTTGGAATCGAAATAACAATTCTTTTTTATTGTTCACTCTTGCCACCCACTGCCGCCCACTCGCCACTCGCCGGCCGTCCACCACCGCTTGCCCACCGCCTTGAACAAAAATTTAAGAATAACTATCAAACAAAATTTCTATTACGAGAACATAAATTTAGACCGTTATTAAACGCTACTTTTTGTTCAGAAACTCGTCCGAGAAAGAGAGATAGATTTTTCTATTTCTAGCCAAAAATGAGGTCGGAGAAGAGAAATGTTGTCATTCGCGCCCTAAAAGAATTAACATTTTTGGTGGAAACAATTCCGTCCTAGCAATATTTTATATCAATGCGTGCCTTACCAAACATTCATAACTATAAACACTGCCGTGTGTGCAACCTCTCAAAGGCTCTCTCATCTTTTTGTCAACGACTCCCAATTTTTAAAAAAAATATAACATCTATTTTTTTCTTTCTTTTTTTTTTTCTAGTTAATTCGTTTCCCGATTAGTCACAAATCCCAGCTCCGTCAGCAGAGTTCTTGATGAATAGACTTTAATTTCAGCAATACAAGCTTGTATTGGAATACATGAATATTAAATTCGCGTATTTATCTAAAAAGTTTGAAACGCGGTTAGACGATGACTATGTGTTTTTGTCATGATTTGTCAGCACACAGGGTCGTGTCGAAATTTTCTGCATTTTCATTTATTGCTCAATTACAATCGATTTCTTCGCACTTTTCCATCAAAGGGTAATCTCGTAGTTGACTTTGCGAATAACATGTAAATAGTAGACTTTTTCTTCATTACAAAAGCTTTGGATCAACATGTCTCGTGATTGATATTGCGGTCGCGTTTGCCATTGGCCACGTGTCCACTTGTTAGATCAAATAATGTCATTACTAAACATAAAAACGACGTAAATTGTTGCAATTTTTAAGAGTACTCAACCAATCTCAACATTAGATCTATCAAAATGGGTCATAAACCCATTTTTTAACCCATATTTTTTTTGGTCGAATTTTAACCCATATTTGATAGATTTAGTTGTTATATGGAATAGTAATATTTAGTAGATGGGTCATAAATGGATTTATAATGGTAAAATTAAAAATAATATGAGTGTTAAATGGGTTCACAACTTACTTAGACCCAACCTACATTTATGACTCTCTTTTCACTCTCTCTCGCCCACACTTGATCTCGCGCTCGCTCGCTCCATGTTCCCACCTCAGTTTGGATACGAGTTTTCCTATATTAGTTTAAATATAGAAGTGTTTTAACAATATGGGTCGGACAGGTCAGGTCGGATATGATCGGGTATTTGTTGGATCGAGTGCGGGTCACTAAATTTTATTGCATGAAAATGAATCAAAACGGATTAAATGAGTAAATTCGAATTGAACCATTTTCGACTTAGCCGCAACCCACCCGTTTAACGAGTCTACTCAACATGTTATGTTCCTATCCTCTAATCGGGATTCAATAAATATTACCATAGGAGGCTCTCCAATCAAAATTGTCTTAGCTTATCTTTGTAAACCATTTTTCTCTCCTTTCTTTCTCTGATTGAAATCATTTCAATTTATTGAAGAAACTTACATCTTGAATGGATCCTATACAAAGTTGAAGTATCATCGAACAATAGATTCAACAATTGAGATTTACCTCATCAAAAAACCTCAATCCTACTATGTTACTTATCCATCTCCTTTCCCAGCCCAAACAACTTTCCCCCTTGTTCATTGCTCTTCATCCCAGTGGACAAGCCAAGACCGGCACCGCCATCGGCAACCCCACCCAGGCGCGCCACCTTCCAACTCTACACACATCTATCCGACACAACCTCTCCTTTTGCACTTAGACTCTCTCACTTCGTCGCTCTCTCTCCTTCTCTCTCTCCCTTCCTGATTCTAGTAGGGATGTGCAAAATGGACTGCCCAAATCGAGAACCACCCGAACCAGACCGAATTAGCCAATTTGGTCCGGTTCTTCAGAAATGTCAGTCCGGTTCCCGTTTCCTAAAAGTGGAACCAGTGTCCGGACGGTCCAGTTTTAAGGAGGAACCGGACAAACTACATATACTTTTTTAATTTTTTATTTCTTCAAAAAAATTAGTAAAATATGAACTAAACCATAAGTAAACTTTATTAACATAAATTCATTGATAAAAATTAATAAAATGTGAAACAAACCCTAAGTGAACGGTTCCATAACCGGACCAAACCGACCATTCCTATATTCGAGGTTGTCAACCTTCAACAATCTCAAATAGAGGAGGTGGTGGGCCCTCCATATGAAAGGTTGACAACCTCTAATTTGTACAAGAGAGCCAGGGGAGATGGATCGAAAGAAGGGCGCCGCACCGTGACCATATGAATGGCATGAGGTGCCAGTTGTGGGGGTATACGTAGGGAAAGAAGAAGTGAGGATAAGAATATCAAGACATTGTCACATTTTCCTCTGACTTTGGTTGCATGAAATTTGTTCTAACAAATATTTCGATTGGTGAGTTATAAGTTGTGAATATTATCGACATGTAAATTTTGATGGGAGTTTCCTCAAAGTCGGAATGCTTTGGTCTTTCCTTTTTAATCTCTATTTTTGTGCTGGTGTTGTAATCCCAATGTAGTTAAAAGAAGAAAGAAGCAATCTCCGGAAAAAGAGGAGAGGCACTCCATTACTTCATTAGTGAGCAGTTGAGCTGAAAAAACAAAGCTCACTTAACACAGAAAATGCACATGGCAAGCCTGGTCACCGGGTTTGACTTTGACCCATCAAAATACTTTCCCGAAAGAAAAAGAAAAAAGAATCCCAAAAGACCCGCATCTCGCACAGGCGGAATGCCAGCTCACCACTCATCCTCTCACATGGCCGCGTAGCTGTGACTCACCACCGTGAACCCGCCGTCCACCGCCAGGTTGTGCCCGCTTATGTACTCCGACTCGTCCGACGCCAGGAACAGCGCCGCCTCCGCCACGTGCCTCGCCCTCAGCCGCACCCCCTTCAGGTTCGCCGCCGCCGCGCTGTTCACCTCCACCTCCTCCGGCGTCAGCCCGTACGCATCGCACGACAGCGGCGTCGCCACCCCGAACGGCGCCACGCAGTTCACCCGGATCCCGTGCGCCCCGAGCTCGCTGCACGCCGTCCTCACCAGCCCCACCAGCGCGTGCTTCGACACCGTGTACGCGTGCGGCCCCGCCCCGCCGAGCGCCGCCGCCACGCTGGCGGTGCAGATGATCGACCCCCGGGTCCCCCCGGCGACCATGGCGCGGGCGGCGTGCTTGATCGTGGCGGCGACGCCGCGCACGTTGGTGGCGACGGTGGCGTCGAGGGCGGCGAGGTCGAGGTCGAGGATCCCGTGGAGGGGGCCGATGACGCCGGCGTTGCTGAAGAGGACGTCGAGCTTCTTGTGCTTTTGGATCGCGAAGTTCACGGTGGACTCGACCTGGGACTCGTCGCGGACGTCGCAGTGGTGGTAGGACGCGCGGTGGTCGCCGATGGAGTCGGCCACCTTTTGGCCGAGCTCGTCTTGGACGTCGGCGAGCACGACGATGGCGCCGTGCTCTGCAAACAGCCGCGCAGCCTCCTCGCCGATTCCACTGGCTGCACCGGTCACCAGTGCAACCTTTCCCTCCAACCTGAGTAATCAGAAAACCTACTTATTTTAGACATTTTCTTTTTCAAAAACTACGAAACCAATTAAGCTAGTAATAATTAATAAAAGAAGAAGAAGGTAATAACAAAACCATAATTATAGTTTTTGAACGGAGAAATGCTAATATCTAATACAAAGTTAAAAATAGGGATAATTAGCAAACGAAAAAAAAAAAGATTATGGGTTGAATGGTATCTTTGAGCTTTTAGAAAAAACAATCTTTTTCGTTTTATTTTTTGTTTTTGTGAGGCAAAGAGGAATTTTTTTTTTGTCGACTCTGTGAAATCTTCTGCCTTTCTCTTCAAGATCAGTCCGAACATAATTTAGACAAATAATGACAAATAAACGACATATGAACAAAAGGGTAATGCCCAAATCGCACCAACAACGTTAAAATTCATGTGCAAAAGCTAATTTAATCCCGTCATAGAATCAAATCAGCAAGCAAGAAACGAAGAAGCGTTCTTATAAAATGCCAAGCCAATCGGACCGGACCCGTTCAAGGAGCAAGAAATTACGTGGGAACAACAAAGAGGAAGCTCTCGAGCCTTACCTCGGCTTAGACATGATACCGTATGATTTGACTATGCTGCGGAAGATGCTCCGAATTCGGATCTGCTATTCGTTCTGCAGCATTCGGCGTTTTTGGGGGGGTGAAATTTATAGGGGGGGGAGGGGAGACTGCGTGGCCCGGAGCTCGAGGAATGCGGGGAGGATGACATATGCGATTTCGACATGGGCGGGGCCTATTATAATCTCCATTTTGGTTCGTTTAATTCGGTCTCTATTGCAACTTTCACGTCTACATTCCGGATCAGCCGTTCGTTCGAGTCAACTCCCCCCATTATTATATCGGCTTGACTTGACGTGGGATCCGAAAGCCCCGAACCCCCCCTCTCGTTGATCTGTCTCGGGAGTTTTTATTATTAGGGTTTGTGTCCTTGGAAGTTTTGAGGCGCTTCTCGGGCGAGTGAGCTTGCACCTTGTGTTTGAATATTTGCTTCGTGCCACGAACATGCAAAGCCACTTGCAGGGCAAGTTGCGCCATATAAAAGATGAACGAATGCTCTGGGGGATGGCGTTGCGACGGGCATGTGAATCCACTTGCGCTGTGTGCAGCACAAGACCCATGGGCGATGACGATGGCTCTGCGAGATGGCGTATTCTCGACGTACCGAGCCCTCTTTGAAATCCCCGAGACCCGAGTGGCTGCTTTCTAAATTTAAAAAGCTCGCGCTCAATGAGACTTTTCGTTTTATTTTTTCCAAAAGTATACACGAAGGCCGTCGCTTTTAATCGGGCGGGACGAATCGAACATCGATCGATGCCTTTAATCTCGCGACAAAGTCAAAGAAGAGGTATTGCATTACGTGGCGCGAAAACCCACAATTAGAAACGGGTCAATACGTGCATGTACTTACAATATATTCAGCAAACGCATACATGTCCGTGCATGATGTGTATACATTTTGCCTACACCATAATGACTGAATGATATCCATTCCATCTTCAACCTTGGCATGCGAAGGCACTATATAACGAGACATCCCAGAAGCATCTGTTCACAAATTTTTCGGCCTCTTTTTGAGGGTTGGGATTCCACGTGGATACGTAATAGGAAGAAGAGCCGAAGCATGTTAGTGGGGGTAAAGGTAACTTTTGGAGGATCCAAAGCTGGAGTGGAGTTTTACCGACAGGGAGCAGCACCATAGCTCGCGTATAGCTAGGTTCATAGATTGGTCTGCTCGAGAGCAAGTGACGTTTCCTTTTGGTAGCGGCGGGTTGTCTTCAGGTTCCCCCAACTATTACATCATGTGCGCGCATTCGAGGCTTTTGAGCATATCCACCAAACACCCTTTTCCTCCTTTTGAATGGAAATCACGACCAAGCAAGCTCATCTGTAATCGGAAGTTTTCACGGAATAAAAGAAACATCGATGGCCATGCGGCATTTGATCCCAGATATTATGATGATTGGATCCAGTGTCCATCGTTTCCGGAGAGGCAAAGCTTTTTCAAGAATCGAGGACGAATAAGTGATTTTATTAGGGACCGCAATATATACAACGCCACCCACGTAAGCAATGAGAACATCGAAAAGGTCCATCCATGGACAGGATGACCCTAAACTCACTCGGCTGTACTACACCATCAAAGCGTGCGTCTCGCTCGTTACAGATCTGTTTATGTACACGAAACGACGGGCTGAAGTTGTAAGACCTAACAAAACTGCGACCCGCTCTTGTTCGCAGCCGACCCCACTCGAAGCGAGCCGAAGCAACAGTTGCAATTCCAAGCTCCCTCCGGGATGAATGGAACTTTCGTAAAGGAATAGTTATGCGCCATCAATGGCTGCCGCTGCCATCCAACAGGTTCCTCAGACTGCAGAGCGCCTCGGCCGAGAAGCTGCAGCACCTCATCCTCCGTGGTCGAGGCGACGGCTGCTGCCAATGATCGAGCGGCGTGAAGCACACGACGATCACTGTGAGGTTGTCGGTCGTGTTGAGGCGCAGCGCCTCCTTAACGAGATCCCTCGCAGACTGTTCTGGGTCATCGTGCCGGCGGAGCCCACGGCGCACAATGTTGACGGCATGCTGACTGGACATCACGTCCCAGATCCCGTCACAACCTATTATGAGGAATTCGTCATCCTCCATCAGGAGAGCTCGCCGGAACTCGGGCTCGGAAATCAGAGGCGAGGGAAAGCCCCGAGAGAACTTCATGTCCCAGTCGCCCAGAGCTCGAGTGACCGATAAGATGCCATTTAGGTATCCATCATCGACAAAACCGCCCAGTTCTTCGACTCGCCTCCGTTCTGAAGGGTATATTGGTTTATGGTCTTGGGACATGTCGATGGCCTCGCCTCTCCGGCAGAGAACTGCACGGCAGTCACCAGCATTGGCCACCACGAGATGCCTGGAGAGTTTTTAAAAGAAAGTGGAAACCGTAAAATGAGAAAAGCAAGGTGCATCAATGCATTGAACAAGTGAATAATTTTGCCTAATGGCAGGTAGCACCAAAAGGTAATCAGGTATAGCCCAACTACAGAATGATGTCAGGAGTTCTCGTCCAAGAAACCGCATTAGAAATCGATTATAAGGGGGGTAACTGCGCTGAAAGAGTTTAAGTGATTGGATTTTTTCATTTTGTCCAACATATTTGTCAAAGAATACTTCCAAGGTGGCCTGCTCAAGAACAGAACGGTGACGAAAGCAAAATTACCTTCCAAGAATCATTGCAATGAGAGCTGTGGCTCCAGAAGAACTACTGACGCTAGCATCGTCTGCCAAAGCACGGTCCGCGAGAAGAAATGCTTTTCGGAGAGAATTCTCGACCTCACCCAAGAATGAGTCGTTAACTTCACATGACTGAGGAAATTCGGCATCGTCAAAGAAGAGTCGGATAACATTTTTTCTAATGAAGGCTGATGCTTCAGCTCCTCCATGACCATCAAACACCTGTGTAATGTCATCGATTTCAGTCAACGTCATAATCAATGAAAACGAATCACTTGAGATGCAACTTGAAGATTAAGAGTTCAATGTATTAACTACCCCATAAAAAGCACTCGGTTTAGGAAACCGGTAAGGCGATCCTAAATGCGTGGACAAATCATCTACGCGAATGTGTTCATCTTCCATAAATCTCCGGGGCCCAATATCTGCAGAGTTACCAGAACGAATAGTAGGCACAAACTGTGCAACAACTGCCTCCAGAAACGCATCAGGAGTATTATCTGCCGATGTGATTTCCTGAAATGAAACGAAATCGAGATGAAATTCCTTCCACAAACTCTCACTCTATAAGTCACAACTTTACAAAGACTCAAGCCAAGGAAGAATCGACAAACGATTGACTAAGAAGATTGTCTTCCTAAAAGAATAGGCGAGGTCTTAATTAGAAGCAAATTTGTTCTTGGTCGAGGAAAAAAGGTTTGATGTTGTTCTAGGATTAATTTTCCGCGGCCCTCAGAAACATTCTCTCGGTTTTTCCTTGCTTGCAAGTTGCAACATAATCCTTTCAGATTTAAGGGTCATCTTCCATCCTTTTTTTTCTGAATAATTGAGATTTGCAATTTAATGAACAAGAAGCAGCAGCAAAAATCAATTCTGCATCTTAGTTCTCCTTGCGTATTGGAAAAGTACATTTATTGTCCCCGAGAACATAAGAAGTAGCATACATAGAAAATCTGAACGACCAAACATAAGCGAGTATAAGAAACAACAGATTTACCGACACCAACAGTCATGTCAATCATCGTTCCAGTTCAGCATTCCCAAAAACTCCAAGGCAGCATAATCATACAGTTCACACCAGAAGAACTTGTTTACGGATATCAAAACAAAGTAAGGTCACGTTTAAGCATCCAACGGAACATCCCTTTAGTAATCAGCCCTTTGTATTTCGAGCGTTATTCTAGCGCATAATTAGTACATGTATGCATACCAAGAACTAGCAGATTTCGTGCAATGATCATCCGGGTTAACGTCAGAAAGCTTTCAATTCTCTCCATCATCCTCAAAACAACCAGTACTACGGTAACATTTGCTACAACCAAACCTAGAGGATGGAGGATGAACAGCAATTCCCCCCCCCCCCCCCCTTTTCAAGCCACAATGATTCCCGCATTCAGTTCTTGCTAGAAGATTCTTAAACTATTGCAGGTTTCAAAAACTGCAACTTACATGAGTTAATGATAATCATTACACAGTATCTCAATTACGTAAGGCTCCGCCTCAATGAAGAAACGAAAACTCCATAGATAATCATATTCAACAGCATCTCAACCCAACACCAAGACATCCTCCGGAAGATCATCGAAACCAGAATCTATCAGTTCACACCGAACAGAGCCCTTACAAAAAAAGAACCACTCACCACTTGAGAAGCGGGGACATCGGCGGCGGCGGCGGCGGCCTCCGACGCGCGAACCCCCTCGACGGCAGGGTGCGAGAGAGGCGAGGAGACGGCGACCAGCTCCTCGATCGCGCTCGCTCTCGCGGCCGCGAGGTACGGCACCTCCAGCGCGGGCACGCTCTGCCGACACGCGACCTCTGCTTCAGCCACCATAACTTCTTCCCCCCCTCACAATCTCATCAAAAGAGCCAAAAAAAAAAAAACACGCGAAGCTCGAACAGGCCGGAAAGACTCCCTCCTCGCGCTTTCCGCCGGAATTTCCCTCCCGGAAACTCGATCGCTATCGACCGAAAGAGTAAGCTCCGGCCCGAGGATGGAGCTCCGCCGATCACGCACCGGTCTTCTCGCACCTTCTCCGAACTTCTTCTTCTTCTCCTTCCGTCTGCGACTTCGACTCCGCAAAACGATCCGAAACGCCGATCGGAGGGCGCGCGCGAGCTCGGGGTTTTATACGGTCGGGGGGGCTGGCGACCGGCAACCGGTAGCCACGGGTCACCGGCTAGGAGCTCCCCCCAGAGCGGGCGACACGTGTGCGGCCGAGAGCCGTGGGATCGATCTCGCTCGCTCGTTGCGCTCCGTGGCCCCTCGGCCTTGACATGTGAGTCTCTGTGACTTTTCCCACTCGAGGGGGGAACGCGTTAACACGGCTTCGAGCTTCGGAAGGGGCGTGGGGGTCGGACCGAGGGAATTGACGGAAACGCCCTCCTCCGGCTTGCCTTCTTTGAATGAGCTGTCTTTGTTTGACTCGAGCACGGCGACATACCATATTTTATTATTATTACGTTGCCTTCAAGTTTGCATTGCTCATAAAAAAAAGTACGTCCCGACCAACAAAATTTATAAATGAAAAGGCCTATTTTTTAATAAGTGATAATCTCGTGAATCTAACGGTGGAGATGCCTCCAAGAGCATGTCGGCATCGCGTACATGTATCGCATCGAATACGCTTAAAGGACAAAAACGCGGATGCGATATTCTCTCTTTAAGAATGAATATTTTACTCTATGCTCTAGCGGCATTTCCGCAGGAGGAGCCTAGGAGGGAGTAAGACCGGGTCGTCGGCGTGGTCAGGGGCAACATGGGGAAATCGCCTGCTGGGATTTCTGAAAAGCAGTTTTGCTCGTGTTTTCCACCTTCGCTGACGCAAGAGGGCGGGCGGGTCCCGCTGGCGTTGGCGATGCCCGAGCCGGATGCTCGACGCCGGAATGTACGAAATTGCCCTCCCGCGTAGCTCGAGATCAGCGAAGCTGACCCGTGCCGACCGGGGACTTTTCGGACCTTTGCGCGGAGCTCGGGCGTGGTCCGCGTAACATCCCCGGTGGTGGTCCAGGTAGAATTCGAGCAAAGTCTTCTTCTATCATTAGTTGGAGATTCCCTACGCCTTTTCTTTCCTCTTTTTTTGGGGGAGTTTTTATATCATTTATTTACATCGTCTTGCGAAATCTCGTATATACCCTTCTATGGTTAGGCGCGGCGCCGGTAAATACTTTTTTTTTCCCCGAGGGCGAGTATCGGGCCCCGCCGCGTCGCCGTCGAGAGAAAAAATCGAGATGAATTGCGCGGCCATTATTATTTCGATGTTTTCTTAGACGCAATTTGGCATCGGCAATACGGATACGGCGAGACGTGGGAATCCATCGATTGGAAAAGGTCAGATTTGCGTCTCTAACGGGAGTTGACTACGCACAAAGCTGTTGTCAACACGAGCATTATTCTCCATAAAGAAGGTGATCGGGACCCAAGCGTGATCATGTCACGCAGGCAAATGTTTCGATGTTTGATTAGTACCGGAGAGTTGACAACTCGCATCTAATTACAGCACAAACCAGAAGGGTATGTTGAATTTAATTAATTCTTTTGGTTGCGGTCGTGGGATTGGAATCCGAGGTTAACTCTGAACAAGTGAACAGGATCTTCAATACCGTGGATGGATCGAACCATACAATGGTCGGCAGTTCTTGCAATTGATGTGTGTGTGTGTGTGTAAATATATATATAAAAGAGGGAGATGGTGTGTAATTTCGAGGTTAAACACTTTGTGCTGTGGACGTATTCGTGATGTTGGGCATGCATGGCCACCGGAAATGAAAGATGGAAGGCGACCAAAACCGGTGGGCGGAAAGGATTTACGAGCCGAAGTTCGCTGTACCAAAGTTGAGAAGATTTTTCAAGCGAAAATTTTTTTTTCTTTCCTTGGTTGGGGGGGGGGGGGGGGGGGGTCAAAATCTGGAATTTTGTTTACACCGTAAGCGGTGCTAGCTAGCGGAGCCCACTAGAAGAGCATCTTCACGAATTAAAAAGCCCAATGGGCTCGAGGTGGGGTGGAAGAGAGCCGGTTACGTGGAGGACGATGGTTTCGATGGGCCTTCGCGGCCCAATGGGCTACCGTATTTGGGCTTCTTGGACAAAACTCCGAACCGCACGGGAGGGAGGCCCAAGAGGGCTCTAGGGTTTTTAACCCGAGCCACGGAGGAGGCCTTGACCGGTCCTGTGAAGCCGGCGACGAGGCTGCCGGTGTAGTCCCGACAGATGCATGCAATTGCTCCATCCGTCGATCCATACCTTCTGGGTCCCTAAATTTCCATAAATTTTCCTTTAATGGAATGGCATTTTGACATGTGCTCCATAAAAAAAAAATAAAAAAATTCTTCATTTTAGCACAAGTCTTTAAAATTCCATATGGATCTCCACAATGATTGGGGTGTTTGAAATGAGGACGAGGGTTGCTTTGTATTCTGCTTCAATTCTATTCTCTAACTGGGTAAATCGTACCCATTTTTTACCATATAACGGCCCGATTTTGTACTTGTCCAAATTAGCTCATCGTGTGCCTCCAGGGATTTTATTGGGATGGTGAGAATTTCCTGCTTGGTCTGTTCATCGAATAGTGCGTCTACCTTCTGCTCTTTCCACATTTCCTCTTCTAGGATTATCAGTTCAGCTACTCTTTGTGGGTCATCGGTATTCGCAAATCCACCAATTATACCTCTTCAACCATTTATCTGTCCTAATATCCACATTTTCCCCCATTGCCTATAGACCACATCGCTGAAATAGAAATGGCTTCTCGTCCCATAAGCAGGTTTTGCCATCCCCAAGACGGCCTAGCTCCTTTTTCTGCATGCCATAATTGTTTCCGTTTGAAGTAGATGCCTTTCAACAATCTGGTCCATGAAGGATTCTGGGATTTTTTTATAATTTCCATGCTTATTTACCTAGCATGGCTTTGTTTACAGTGATTCAATCTCTAAGGCCCATACCTCCCTTGTTTTTTTTTTGTCCGGTCTTCATAGTGTCCCACTTTTTTAGGTGTAAACCAGCTTTTGAGTCATTGTTTTTCACCAAAAATTCGGAGTAAATGACACCGCAAATACCGTAACTTTCGTACGATACTCACCTAAGTGTTGTATTTTTTTTTCAATCAGTGAGTGCATACGACACTCATTTAAGTGTTATAACTTTTTTCTAATCACTTGAATGCCAAATAACTTTTCAATCGATCATTTGAGTGCCATAACATTTTGAAAATATTTACCATAGGTGCTATGCTACGTCAGATTTCTAGCACTTAAGTAAACGTTTTTAAAAAACTTTTGGCACTTTAATGATCAATTGAAAGTTATGCCACTCTAGTAAACGTTTTTTTAAAATTGATGGCACTCAAGTGGTCGAAAAAACAGTTATAGCACTTAAGTGAGTATCGTAAGAAAGTTATGACACTTGTAATGTTTATATTTAAAAAATTTGGTATTTTCTATTTAATGGCTTTACAAATAGAAACTGAGATTTTAAATATAGACATTGTGTATCATTCCCCTATTTTCAACAACAAAAAAATTCCGCCTTTGGTATTAACTTCCTTCCATCCTTCCAATTTCATGTTGATTCCCCCCAAAATCCAAGCGAACATGTGTTTTTTTTCAGCACCCAATTCGGGTGAAACGCCAAGAAATTTTTCGGCGTGGCTAATCTCCGAAATGCTCAATTCCCTAGCCATACATGCTCGTCGATCAATATTGCTTCAACCCGTTTGATTGGCATCAAGTTCATTGCAACTTGAAAACTCGAATATCATTAAAAGGAATGAATTTGACATGATCCACGGTGCGCGTGTTGCACGATATTTCCGTGACCATTAATGTAGATAATTATAGTCGAAAGCTTGACCAACTAGCCAAATCCATGATGATAAAACGTCGAATGGATTAGATAAGCTGCATATGTAAAATTAATAAAAAAAAATGATGAAAGGAACGTTTTATATGGGGACTTGAGACTGGCCCTAGATGACAAATTCAAATATCTTGCACGACCAATCTAAGCCCAATTATCAGGTGAAGGAAGCACCAATTCGATGAAGGCCCAATTTGCAAAATCCCCATATTTTGAGGGTGGAGAAGCTTAGTCAAGTCAATAATAGGGCCATAACTCCATATAGATAGATTGATCAATGACGTGCATGGAAAATTGACAAGAGAAGAGTTTTTTTTTTTTTCCATTTTTGCTTTTGGCATACATGAAGATGGTAATTTGGGCTATATGGTAGAAAAGTAGGTGTTATGATACCTCTAGTCATCTTTTAATTATTGGGTATCTTTTTTTTCCTTTCATTTCGATTTTCCGTGTTCATAAATCCAATTACAATTTGAATTAAGCTTCAAGGGCGGTATCTACGATTCGATCTCGTCGATCAAATGACACAACATAAAAGACCAAATCATGTAGAGTCGTCCTTCGCGCGTTAAGGTATCCTCGCAGAATGAATAACGTCTCAAAGCATGAGAACAGAGCAAGTTCATCGCGGGTTTCACAACAACGATGTGTCCAAAGAGTTTTTGTCAACATCAAAAAAAGTTCGATACTTCTTCTTTCTGAAAATAAGTACGAAGATCTTGATATTAGGTTTTATAAACAAAAAACTTAATCAAACAATTTTAACTCGAATTAAATTTCTAGATCGAGCTAACGTTCTCTTCCATTTTAAGGTGTTATTGTTGAGAAAGCGAATGTCTTGTTTTCCCTATTTTAATTTCTTTAAAATCGATGAAAACAAATTCCAAGTCCTCTCATTTCTGTCAAAGCGAAGTAGCTGACTCGAGAACTTTGAATCGCAATGTGGGGGCGCTCGCATTTAAATTAGCAAGTCCCCATTTGTTGAAAATTTCAACAACGACAACAACAATAGTAAAACCACATTTTCCATGACCAAATCACATGAATAAATTACAAATCAAAGTCCAAGAATCACGAGGACCCACTTTTTTTACTCCCCCCCAAAAAAAAATATTTAAAATTTTATAAAAGATGGGTTTGAGGTGGTCAGATAATGTGGGTGTTGACTTGAGAAAAATGGTCGGTCTCTTATTAATGCTTTGGTCCTCCTTTTCATGCCAAACCTAAACTTCACTTCACCTTTTTCTTTACGACATCGTTTAACCTTTTTTTTTTTTGAAAAAAAAATTATTGTTTTTTTTTTTAAACATGGGGTCGTCGTCGTCGTCGTCTGTCGTGGTTTGGCGGGCTACGATGCATGTGGCTTGACGTTTTCGATACCAAAGAATGATTTCTCACAAATCGGTGCATCGATTAAGTTTGATTTTTATTTTAGGGGGTCACGGGAAATTCAAGGTCACTTGCAAAGACTAGGTAATAACCGGGCAAATTCGACCATGGAAGCGGACCGGACGCATAAATTTAGATCACGAGAGGAGAAACGAAATGAAATTTCGTATATTATGGTGCGAAATTCCTAAATATCCTATGACGCACGTGACAACCGGAGAGAGCGACGGCTCTCGCCGGTTCTTTTGAGGTTAGTCGTTAGATATTTGATGTGCTTGTTAAGTCATTTCAACACGAGTTAATAGCTCTAGTCATCCTTTAATAGATATATTTTATTGTGTTGATTTTAACTACATGTATATATCACTTGGGGCAATTGTATGGTCAATCCATTATTTCCACAATGGACCACGTTGAGTTACCCAGTTGATTTTTAGGTATAAATTGAAACCAGTGGTCGAGTGAAGGCTATTAGTGGCATGATGTGTGGAATGTCAAGTCGCATTTAAATTAATATAGTAGCTGTTAGAGGTGATAATTTCTGATTGCGCTTTCAATTTAAATACGAAGTGAACTCACTAGTACTCAAACGGATGCCATGGTGGTGATTGGCGCCTTACGATCACTGTGTGGTGATCATGCTCGTCGTCGTTTTGAGACGGCAATTACGTGTAGTAATCTCCCGCAGAGTTCAACCGTTGCGCAAAGTGATAGTTATGCCTTCATATATCCCGAGAGAGAGAGAGAGTGAGCTCTCTCCCTTCATGTGTTCTATGTTCCTCTTTCCTTAATTTCATTTTACATTCAAATCGGGTCGAAAAGAGGTTTTAATCATTTCTTTAAGTTCTTTTTTGGCGGAACCCGGCCCGACCCGACTCGAAACTAAATCGGGCACATTCCGTTTCGAGAGGACCACCGGACGTCGAACAGGATAACGAATCCGCGCATCCTCCTCTCTTACTCTTGTACAGAACTTTCACATCTCAATCACCGAAGACCCCAAAAGAAATGCCCAAGAAAAGAAAAGAAGAGAGAAAGAAAACAGGGGAGGCGTTTCATGATAAACTTCTGCTTTTTCTTGGCGTTAATCAGAACATTGCTGTTTCAGGGTCATGATTAAAGGGCTAATGCAGATCTAGCCTGTCCATATATCTGCCCTTTTAGCTTTATGTTTTGGCCGAAAGTGGTCAATTCTCTCCCTCTCTCTCTCTCTCTCTGTCTCTCCCCTGTTTCTGAACAAATAATTTTGGCTAGGCGACAACAAAAACTCAGTCATAGCCCCTCCAGCCCACACGATAAAGAAAGAGGAAATACTCACTGTCAGAGGGAGAGTTTTGGTTATTCAAAGGAAAGAGAGAGAGAGAGAGAGAGGGAGAGGGAGAGGGGAAAGAGCTTTTTCGAAAGCGGAGCTGTGGGGACAAGAGATTGAACAGGGCGAGGTTTGAACGGTCAAAAAGGAGGACGAGACTGTCAAAAGCGAAGACTCAGATTTAGAAAACCCAAGAAAAAAAAACGAAAAAAAAAACGAAGTCTTTCAATTCAATACATAAAAACGGAACATAATTTGCTTGGGTTGTTGTCGTTTGTCACTGTTTTTGACTGACTCCTCCTCCACCTCCACCTCCACCTCCACCAAGCCAGAGCCAAAAAGAAGCAAGCAGGAAAGAGAGAGACAGCAAGCGAAAATCAACAAAGCCAGCCTGATAAAAAAGGAAGGAACTTGTCCAAATTCCACCCATTATCACCCCCCCCCCTCCCCCCTCCTCCTTCCTGTCAAGAATCACCTCAGACAGCTGAGAAAGAAGGACAGCTGAGAACACTTTCTGGTGCTGAGATTCAAGCAAGCGACCCTTTGATTGTTTGGGCAAGAACCCCGGTTTTTTGTTTGGGGTTTACCTGAATGGTAATTTGGATTCTCTTGTCACTTTTTTGCCCCTTGTTCTATATTTCTCTGTTGCATGGGTTATTTTAGTTCCTTTGCTTTTGCTAGATTTTTGGATCTGGGGGGTTGATTTGAGCTGACCCTTTGTTGATGTGGTCCTTAAGATCTGTTTTTCTAGTGTTGCCATTTTTTGCCCCTTGAATTAACCCTCTAGTTTTTTCCCCTTTACTTAAGAGTGGTTTCTCTTTTCTTTTTCCCTACCTGGTGGTTATGCAAGAAAGGCCTCCAAAAAATTTAGCCTTTGAGGTTACTTGTACGGTTCATTCTGCTGGTTAGGGACTCTTTGCATTTGTTTGGTTCTTTATCTTAGAACTTGCCATCTTCTTATGAATTTTGAGGATAGCATGTACATATATCCATCTCTGTGTTGGAACCTAGTCCTTTTGGAGGTTTATCAAGTGGAAGATCTTCTTTTCCTTGCATTGATTACCTGAAAGGCGAATTCAACAAGTTGCTTCCTTTAACATCCATTTCTGGGGAGGGAAAATAACCTTGAGCTTTTTCAGCATTATCTCAAGGGATTTTGAGATTTTCAACCGTCTTTAGGTGGACTCTTTCAGCAGCAATTTGTGATGTATCGGCCCGGATTATTTGCAAAGAGATTTTTACAAGCTTCAGACCAAGTGTTTCGAAGAGATCGGTCAGTTTGAGAATGTGTCTAGATGCAGCAAGGCCGGTTTTGTGGACGATTTTGTCCAATTGCATCAGTCAAGAGTTGTGCGGTGTCAAGTTATTAAGAAAGCATCCACATTAGATGACCTGTCATCACAGCTTTAAAACTCGCCCACATTTGCTGTATTCTATTTTGTTTTCAGCTTTGCAGAAATTTCAGTTCTCTCTGTATTTGGTCATTACTGCTGGTTGCATTAACAGCTGATGCCTAGGATTCTGTATGGTCAAACTTTTACAGTTGATTTATTCTGTATTCTGATGGAATGATGCGCATTTAGTTTCTCTGAATACTTGTTCTCTCTTATGAAGGGCTTTTTCTTTCCCCAGATGTTACTTTAAGTACTTTAGTTTTCAAATACGAGTTTCATACATCTTGTGGTTTCTTGAATAGGAATCCGTGTGAGAGAGCCATGCTCTTGGTTTTGATTGCTCTTATGTGTGCTGGTCCTCCATTTGTTTGCCTCCATGTTGATTATTAACTCGTCTCTACAAATGCAGATAACTTGTTGATATCTGACATTGAGAAGAGAGCATAATTGGACTGTGAAAAAATCTGTACGTGATATAATGGCTTCCGTGAGCATGGCGCCTGTGTCTGGTTTAAGAGATCCAGCTGGGAATGCAGTGGCTTTTGATAGATTGCCTGATGAGATGAATGACATGAAAATTAGGGATGAGAAGGTGAATCACTCGCTACCTCGAGCTTCCACTCCATCCCACTTTACTTGTTTTATTGACTGATGTCTGATCAGCCTAACTCATTTCTTATTGGATTTGGTTTTTGGTAATGCAGGACATGGAGGCAGCTATTGTCGATGGTAACGGGGCAGAGGCGGGTCACATAATAGTCACGACAATTGGTGGTAAAAATGGGCAGCCAAAACAGGTAAGATCTAAATGCTATGCATTTCCTACTATATCTACATTTGAAAGGTGTCTCTCGTTTCTATCTAACAGTTTGCTTCTTGAAATTCCAGACGATAAGCTATATGGCCGAGCGGGCTGTTGGGCAGGGGTCATTTGGAATAGTCTTCCAGGTGAGGCTTTCTTTTATTTCCCGGCACTAGTTGACCTATTTCCTTTTCGTTCATTCTTTTTTCAATATATGAACTTCCTATTGAAACCTTTTGCTCATTTGCTCTGTGATGTAGGCAAAATGTTTGGAGACTGGTGAAACAGTTGCAATTAAGAAGGTCCTACAAGACAGGAGGTACAAAAATCGGGAGCTTCAAACCATGCGTCTTCTAGATCACCCAAACGTTGTGTCTCTTAAGCACTGCTTCTTTTCCACAACCGAAAAAGAAGAGCTCTACCTGAACCTCGTTCTTGAGTATGTGCCGGAGACAGTCCACAGAGTGATAAAACATTATAACAAAATGAACCAGAGGATGCCACTAATATATGTGAAACTCTATTTTTACCAGGTAACTGTTGTATTCGATCTCATTCTTCTTATTTAGTTATATGTTGACTGCAAGTCTACGTTTCTTTGCGAATATACGGTCGGTAATGTTCTTAGTTATAAATAGGTCTTATTTTTCTTCTTGCTAAGTCACGTTGCTTCAAACAGGACCATCTTCTTTTTTTTGTCCATTTCTAGTATGGAATATCAAGTTCCCATTTAGCAGCTCTTATACGAAAGTTTCTCTTGTCAATTTCTTGGACAGATATGCAGAGCGCTTGCCTACATTCACAACTGCATTGGAGTGTGCCACAGGGACATAAAGCCTCAAAACCTACTGGTATGTCTAAACAGGCGCCCTTTGAGGTGCTGTTACTGTTATATATGATGGGTGCATGAAGTTGTATTGCCTGAAGTAATAAATTTATCTCTATTTAATAGAAGTGAGGATATGAACCTTCAAAAGAATTTAAGTATAGTCATGATGGCAAAACTGAGAACTTTAAAGATGCTTTGACATAAAGAGACCTGTCCTGCGATGCTCTAGGGTGTGATGTTCTTCATTCTTGGGTGATTGGTCTCCATGTACATTTTTGCTGCTTTCACTTCATTATATATTTGTCTCTGACAGGTTAACCCACACACTCACCAGCTAAAGTTATGCGACTTTGGGAGTGCAAAAGTTTTGGTTTGTATCTTCCTATAGTTCATGTTGTTAAGCTTACGTTTCTCTCCCATTATTCTTGATCGTTATTTTAACTCTTTACTTGATTTATGACAGGTAAAGGGCGAGCCAAATATATCTTACATTTGTTCCCGATACTATCGTGCACCCGAGCTCATATTTGGTGCTACTGAGTACACTACAGCAATCGATATCTGGTCAGCTGGCTGTGTACTGGCTGAGCTACTCATTGGACAGGTTGGAATTCCCCATTCTAATTATGATTTCAGTTGTCGTTTTTTTGGACATTAGCTAATGATGTCTTTCTAATGACAGCCTCTCTTTCCTGGTGAGAGTGGTGTGGACCAGCTTGTTGAAATCATTAAGGTGATAACATCCTTGAGCATCTTCTGTTATCAAATCTTTCGTGTTCTAGGAGCTCCACTGCTGCATTTTTTCCTCTCTTTTTTTTTTGTGTGAACAGTGATCTGTTTGGATTACCACCAATTAGTAAATACCAATTTTTCTGTTAGTTTCAGCTTTAGAACTCTGGACATTCCTTGATGAGAATAATTGGATAGGTTGATAATCTATTAACAAGCAAGTGTGGTTTCTTGACGTGTCGACTGTCCCTCTAACATCTGTTTATAATGCCATTATCTCCTTCACTCATATTTCAGAGACCCTTAGTTTGATTATTGTTTTATTCTCATTCAGGTTTTGGGTACCCCAACCAGAGAGGAAATAAAGTGCATGAATCCCAACTACACCGAGTTCAAGTTTCCTCAAATTAAGGCCCATCCGTGGCACAAGGTAACACGGCAGTGTTAAAATACTCTCTGATGTATGAGAGCAAATCATGTCATATGATCGAATTAACATTGGGTTCATCTTCAGATATTCTATAAGCGCATGCCCTCTGAAGCTGTGGATCTCGTCTCACGGCTACTGCAGTATTCGCCAAATCTTCGAAGCACAGCTGTGAGTGTCATTCTTTACTTTGGTGATCTCGGTCTTTCTTTGGGCAATTTTGGTCCTCTCATCATCACTGTCATTTAGAGTCAAAGAGTCGATCTTCTATGAGGAACGTATCAGAATCCTTTATGCATGTGACGATATGCATCGTCATCTTCTAGTCGTTTAAGTTTGACACAATATTCAGCATGTCGAAGGATAGACCAGTTTGCCTTGCACCTCAGCGTGCCAAATATATCCTCTCCTTTCTTTCATTCACAGCTTGTCCTTTTCGCTGTCCATTTTGCTGAAAGTTGACTAGGTCCTAGAAAGACCGACTCATTTGCACGACTCGTTCCATGCAGCTGGAGGCTTTGGTCCACCCTTTTTTCGACGAGCTACGCGAGCCCAACGCGCGACTACCAAATGGACGTCCTCTTCCGCCACTCTTCAACTTCAAGACTCACGGTAATTGGCCGGCCTTCACTTCGATATCTACATGGCAACTAATCTTCTCATGCCTCTTTCCGTTTAATACGTTACTTATTGCCGTGGTCTCTGGAACAGAATTGAGAGGAGTACCGTCGGAGATGCTGCAGAAGCTGATTCCCGAGCACACGAGAAGACCATTGCCCTCCCACGGGTTCTAACCCCGCTCCGTCCTTTTGTAGAGAAGATTAGCTAGAGGCTTCTTTTATTTTGTTATGGAAATGTCGGTTTCTCTTCCTTACCCTGTACCCCCACACATGTTCGTTTAATTTGTTTTGCCCGCGTTAAATTCTGCGCCGCCATCCTAAGACGCAGATGAAAAAGGTTCTGCTTAGAGTACTGCTTTGACAATCGGAAACTGAGTTTGCTGACCGTGCTTCGCTATCTGACGGGATTGTAACACTGTATTTAGTAGAGAGAAGTTTGTTCATCTCAAGCTCTAGCTGTAGGTTTAAATCTGACTGCATCAATAATGTCCTCGGCGAGATCATCGTTAGCCGTGGCCCGTGGCATCGCGCCTCTCTCTTGGGTAACTACCGAGACAATGCCTCCACGAGGGCTTTCGAGACCGGTCCAGTTTCGACCAGTGCCCCGTGGAGCCATCGACGACTTGTCGTTGGATGTAATAATCCCACGATTGAAATGGAAGTTCCTGATTAGCATGAAGCAAAGTGGGAGATGATCTAATCAATCGAGTGTGCTGTGGTGGTCCGATTGGGCCATCTTTCTGCAGCCTAGCTTTGTGAGCAAAACGGTCAATTTCGGACGACTACTAACGAGCCGTCGTCGGTCCAATTATTCCACGACGACTTCGAGATTAGGTTATAATTTCTTTCACGTTATCATTTGAGGTGATGTGTAGTGAACGATGGTCCATAAAATGTTAATTAAGAAGAGGATAATATTCTTTTTTCTCTTATTGGCAAAGAGGGCATGTCAATGCCTAATCTGAAGGAAGCTTCTACGAAATTTTGATGGGTGTAAATCTCTCAAAATTAAAATAGATTGTAGCAAGTAGCAACTGGGTTTTACCCCCCAAAAAAATAGCAACTAGCAAGGACCAAGAAGATTTCAAGTAACTTTATGATTAACATTGATTTTGATTAATACAATCCCGTGGTCCTTTTAACTTTGTCTAGTTTTCATTATACCGGGTCTTCTACGTGGCTTCTATTCCTCATATAAAATCCGAAATTGAACGGAAGTAATTTTGATCGGTCTCTCGCGGAATTCTCGACACTGGCCAAAGATTTATTGGGCATTGTTAGCAAATGAATCTATTTGTAAGCGACGGGATATATCATTAATCATCCGATGGCTATTCTAGGATAGCTCCTCGTGCATAGCTTCGATAAAAACGCGAAAAGGGAAATCAAAAACACGCGTCCTTGCTCTTAAAAAGTATATTGTAATTTGATGAAACAAATCAATTATAGAACACAACCGAACCCAATTTTGAAATTTTCGTTTTTTTTTTGACAAAACCGAGCACGTTGACAAGAAAATTAGAAGATAAAAAAAACAGGATTTTTCACTGAACATGGAAACGCAAAACGCATGGGCCCTTGACCTCCTCTCAAATTGATGACGCCGACCCAACTGGTCCTTCTCTGACTAATTCATGAAAATCACTTGGCAATTGGCTCTCATTAGCTCACTGAGAATCGCATTCGGAAAAAAAAAATGAATAATTTGAAAAAATTGAATTAATCAGAGCCCTCTTGGCCCACCCGAAAGAAAAAAGTGATTATTCAAATCTCGATTCTTGATTTTTATTTTATTTTATTCCATTTTACACGAGCCAGAGGAAATTAGTTTGAGTGGAGTTTGAAAAACAATGAAGTTGATGGACTAGCTTAAAAAAAAAGTTAGGGACCACGTAAATTTTGGGGTGGTCATAGGTAAATTTCTTCCATTTACTTCAATATAGAATGACCAAAGCCTTAGATGCACTTCCGCTACGGCGTTCCATCACATCTTTCTTTTAATCTAGTCAAAATCGAAGCTTCAAAAGATTTGAGATGTGTCTTGATTGTCTTTTTTTACTCTGTCTTCTTTTCTCGACCAAATCTCGCGGCTCGCGTATTTCGACTTTTTTGTAAATTCGAAACACCTGAAGCTTTTTATAAAAATATAAATATTTAAATGTGGATTGGCAATTTTTTGAATTTTTGACATGTATGTTCATAATTTTCTATGCTCACGTCGCTTTCGCATCGTTGATGTGATAGCCCCGAAAGTCAACAATATTCACGCGCTTCATCTTCTTGACCACAGAATATTGCTTGTCTCGGTAGCCATAGGATCGTAGCTCACGTGTAAAAATCCATGTGATTCAATAATTTTCGTAAAATGAGTGGACATGCTAAGAAAAATCTCTAAACGGATATTCGGCTGCGCGCATTTAAATTATTAGGGATTGCAAATAGTATTCGAAGTCTAACTGGAGTTACTTTCTGGAAAAATAACACAGATGATCTCCGAACTTTTATCCAATATGTAACGTCATTTTTTAACCTTTTAATTTGTTAGATAAGATTCCTAAATTTTGACCCAATGTGTAGTGTCGTCCCTAAAATGATCCCTAAACTTTTTGTCGTCATTTCATTAACTCAAGTTAACAAAATTTGCCGCTTTGGCCGAAAAAAAGACATCTTGCGTGGATTATCTATGTAAGATATTCAACTCAAATTAAAATAGAGTAATTCTTTTAATTTGTTTGATTTGTTCAATTTGGAAAAATGTTTATCCAAGTTATTTGATGACGTTGATTATTATATTATGATTTGAGTTGAATATCTTACGTGGATAATTCACATTTAAAGTTTTTTTTTGTCCACTGTTCAACTTACCGGATGGGAAGTCGAATCAACAAATTCCATTAATTTGAATTAATGGAAGAACGAAATTAAATATTTTCATATAGTTTATGGGCTAAATAGAAAATGCATCAAAAGTTCAGGGATCACATGCACCGAACAAATTGAAAGTTTAGGGACGATATTGCAGATTAAGTTAAAGTTCGACACCGCATTGAGCAAATTAAAAAATTCATGAACTGTTTTGCATATAGGAATTGTTTGCGTCATGGACTTTTTTCGCTCAGAGAAAAGCAACAGATACCATTTTAAGTAAGACAAATCGATTCAAGCCTTTGATGTTGGATCATGGACCGCTAGGAAAAAGCAAAGAATCGAAAAGGCAGAGAAAGAAATGTTGCAAAGAATCGAGAAAAAATTTGCATGAAAAGGAAAAAAGCACTGCATGCGCCATTTGATGCTACGTTCGGGCACTAGAGTAGAGGGAGGAGGATAATATGAGAGTGAATCGATAAAATATTATACTTTTCCCCCAATCTCTTTCTTAAAAAAAAGAAAAAATGTCAAACCGATAAATCGATATCACAGTTTACTCAAAAACTAAATTTCACGTTGCAAAGAATTTCCAAACGGATACACTCGTACCATATTTACTCCCGAAACTGACTTTTGTGTCGCAAAAGATCCTAAATTGGTACACCCATGATAAATCTATCGATATGTTAGGGTAACATTGGAGTAAAAATTATGGATTTTAGCAGATTTTTTGAAACGTGAGGTAGATCTTAGGGCAGAATTAGTAAGCGGTCAATAAAATTTTCCAATCTTGGTTCATTTTCTTCATATCTTTCTCCCCTATTTATGTTGAATTTCCACGTCAGACCCACGTCGCACGCCGATCATCCGAATTATTCACCACGTGTATTTCCACGTCAACAAATTTAATGGGATATCGGGAATGAAAGGGTAGATACATTGCGCGTGTACCGATTTGAAATTTAACCACACGATGAGTTCTTTTAAAAAAAAAAAATTCATGCAACCTCTCATTTTTCTCTCGCACTCTTTGGACAAAGCATGAGTTTCTTTTAGGGCGATGCATCTGTAGTGTTAATAAAGGTATCTCGGAGCACGCCAAGCTTCACGCCTTGTACCTCGAGATCGATCAATCGATATGCACGAGAATTCTTGCCTTCTTTTAATCACAAGTAGTTGGACCCACCTCGTGATGCTCATTGTTGACTATCTCAAAGTCCGATTTCAATTGGATTTTTTATTTTATGTTTGTGGGTTTTGTCCATGGTTGAACACGACATACATCACATATATAGTCACCTTTTTATTATTACTTAATCAGGGAAAATTACCCAACAAGTCCTGAATCTATTATATGGATACCAATTCGGTTCTAAACTTTTCAATTTTATCAGTTCAGTCCTAATTCTTTGCGCGAAACTACATTTTGATAATTTTGGTCAGTTTTTGACATGGCAGTTTAGTCATCTCTAACTGTCCTATATGACACACTGTCATGTCAACGATTTCCGGCGAAATTTGGCCGGAATAGCTTTATCAAAATTTTACGCAAAAATTTAAGACTAAATCAACAGAATTAAAAGTTTAGAATTAAATTGACATTCATTCATACATCGGATTTAAGATGGAATAGACAATTTATCTAACTTAATTAACATGAAAGAACTTCAGAAGGAAGTAGTTGCCACTTGTCCAATTGATGTCAAGATTCGCAAAGAGCAATGCGTCACCAAGATTCGGTAGGCACACGTCATCCTCCAATTGCACCTTGGCAATTTTCTCCTTGTTTTTAATATTTTCTTTCCTTATTTTTTTTTATTTGCGGCCGAAAGACCTTGCGGGTCTACATCAACTGAGTTTCTATTTTATCAGTTCGCCTAGCGTCAAAGGAGCCTACAATAATTTTTAATCATTTATATTTTTGGCAAAAAATAGCTGTTGATTTTACAATGAATTAAAGACAGTCACATAAACATTAATTTTATCTTAATGGAACGACATGAGCTAAAGTGAAAAAGACTTATAAAATGACTTCCGGTCTTCTTTCCCAACTAAAGAAAAGGCCACGGAGGTGGACAATCGGATTAGAATATGGGACTATGTCCCGGCGTATATTTCGTGATAACTCCTATCGTACATGTCAAGAGTGCAGCTACGAATGAAGACTAGTTCGGGATACCAAATGATCACGAAAGCAACGATAACATAAGAAAGGTTTGTCGCGCTACACGGGCATTGCGTTTTTAGCTTCATTGACAAATGTACGTTGGTACGGACAGACGACCTCAATAATTTATGTTACTTTGGTACCGATGCAAACTCTGCTGCAAGCAAACTTGAGTGTTCGTTTGGTCAAATAAGAGCGTCAGACATGAAAGTGATTGAACATCAGTCTGACAAATGAAAGTGATTATTGAAATCTCGATTCTTGATTTTTTTTATATTTTATTCCATTTTACACAAGCCAGAGGAAATTAGTTTGAGTGGAGTTTGAAAAACAATGAAGTTGATGGACTAGCTTAAAAAAAAAGTTAGGGACCACGTAAATTTTGGGGTGGTCATAGGTAAATTTTTTCCATTT